ACTTAGTGTAACCCCTGCAAAAACGAGAACGAAAACGAGTTGTTTTAACATGAGCTATAGTGGATGGAGTCATAAGTACGTGTACTTTAAGCAACATATGTCACAGGTAAGTATTAACAAAATAAAATTTTGTCGGCAAAATAGAATGTCCCTTTTAAACACCCAATTAAATGTTAAAGAAATTTAGAACAAACGAAAAAAGAAGTCTGTAAGCAATTGATAAGCAATGATAAACCATTGCTTACGAAAAAAACGAATCTGAGCGAAGTTCAGTTGATAGTGATGCTTTGTCAACAATAAATATGTCATTTTATAATAAAAAAAAAAAATTAAATAGGCTTTATTTATTTTCTTAAATAAAATTTGTTTAACGTTGTACCGATTTTACCAATTTCCCTACGTTTTTCCTGGTTTACCCATGTTTTATTCAAGTTTTTCATATTTCCTGGGAAAATTATTGGGAAAATCAAATCATGATCTTTAAAGTACCTCTCTAGTGAAATATCCTATTAAAAATGTTGCTATCATTATAAGTTGGAGTAAAATTGCTGGTAGAAAAGTTATGCACAAAAAAAAAGAAAGCCGTAATATATTTAAAATAATACCTATATTTCTTAAATTTTTCCGTTTTTTTCGATTTTTCAAATTTGATGAAAAAGATCTTGCGAAAATCGATAAATGACTTTTTTAAAGTACCTCCTTATGCCAATTTCTTTTCATAAAAGGTGCTACATGTAGAAATCCGAGCAAGTCTTCCAATAAAAAAGTTGCGCACAAATAATAAAAAAATAAACATCTTTGTAAAACTATAAGCTTCTTCACTTCACTCAGAATCTAAACTTTAGAGCATTATCATCATTCGGGAGCGTCTTTATCCATCGTTTTTTGTTTACATAAAAATAATATTAATAATAATAAATTCTAATCTTATATGTGGCTGCCAAAATGTAAACACCACTGCTACTTAATAATATATATGTTTATTATTTTGTAACGTTCAAACCAGTGGCTGCATTGAACATATTATATAAAAAAAACCTACTTATACCACTATAGAATAACCTCGGACTTCTTGGAAATAAGCGGAGTTCGGTTATACATTTTTTAACAGCCCATAATATTAACCACTTTCATCAAAATTTGTAGACAAAAAATTCTGCATAACACTCAATTTTTTTTAACCACAAAGTATAATTTATAATGAACTTCCTATTAAATTTTCAAACATTTCTATTTTTTCCAACAATTTTATCCCCAGAGTATACCTACCAAATAAAAATTACATAAAAAACTCGCAAAATTAAAATGTCTAAAAATAGCTCAAAATCGGCTAAAATGTTTTGAAAATTTTACCACGTCTAGAAAAGGCAATTTTAGTTTTTTTTCCAAATTTCAAGTTGCTATGAATATTTTTTACTGAATCACAACAAAAAAATAAAATTAGAAATAACATATTTTGTAAATTGTCTCGTTTTTCCCCAGATTTTCTCAATTATTATGAAAACTGCTTAGAAAATCAAAAAATTACCTCATTAAAGTACTGAAATAATAGAATTTTCTTTCAGAAAACGTATTACACTTGATTCATCTGAGCAAGATTTCTAGTATAATTTTTGTAACAGAATAAAAAAAATATAGTAATAAACATCATTGTAAACCTGAAGTACTTTCCTCGTTTCGCTCAGAACCTAAAATTTGTTATTTAATGTCGTCTAACATTATCTATGTACGAGTATATATAAAAGCCAAATATCACTCTCTCACTGATCGCTATATCTCAAAATCTACACAACCTACGAACTAGAAATTTGGAATAGAGGTTCCTCTAATAATCTAAATGTGCAGTAAGAAAGGATTTAAAAAAAATGTTATACAGCTAGAGTAATACATTCGGTAATAGAGTCGGATAATACAGCTAGAATTATAATAATTAAATAATCAATAAAAACTACAAAAACATGTATACATGTATGTGCATATAAAACCATAACTATTACCTACATATAACTAATATTATGTATTAATTTTGAATACTATTTATTTGTAAGGGAAAAAAAAGAAGATTTTCAGTTGAAATTATCGGCTATAATAATAATATTATTGTTATAGTAAAATTATTCTTTTAATAGCATATTTATTGATTTTATGATTTTATATCGTTTCAGAGCTGTTAAGTTAGTTATTTATCCAACAAGGCAATACAAATTTAAAGTTCGGATTAAAAATAACAATTTTTAATCACCACTAAGATTAATTTTACTACTGATAAAACTCATAAAACTAAGATGGCTCAGTTATTAGATAAAGGAACACTTAGTATATTTTATCAACAGCCAATAATTAACAATTAGATCTTTAAATTACAATACCAAAATATATGATTGATCGTATTAATATTATTTCTATGCTAATTTTCGTCTGTGAAAAGTCTTAAGTAATAAAATATGTTACCTACTGCATCTTAACATTTATGAAAAATAATTATTAATTCAAAACCATCGAATTTTTCATTTCGTTTCGATGCATACAAATGATAACAAGTACGTAGTGTACCTACACAATAATGTAGTAAGTATCATAATTATATCAAAACCCTTCCTTATAGTAATAATATTATTATTTCTTTACAAAAAAAAAAAAATATTAATAACAGTAATAATTATAAATATTATCAAGATTATTATTATTATATTATATTATATTCGTTTTGATTTTTTCCGTGTAGCATTTTAGGTGTTTCAGACGTTTTAGTATCTCATTTTAGACAATTTAATACATTAATCAAGCCGTTTTATTATTTTAATTTTATTTAGGTCATAGCTGTATAACTTATAATTTTTTACATACCTATTGTTAATTAATATCAATATTATTAAAAAGTGCACGTACAAATTACGTATTTTAAGGCATTTAACAATAACCTGCAAAATAATTAATATATGGCTCCATTTTCGTGCCTTTCCCCCTAAATTGAAATTTTGATATTCTACCAGGGCGATAATTTGTGTACAATTAGTTTTAAAATTATTCAAGAAACAAATTTCAGGGGGGAGGGGCACAGAAACCATTATTAGAATGACTAATGTATCAAGAACCGTAAGTAACAATTATTTTTATAATAATATTAGAAAAAAAAAATGTTCGATAAAACACACTGGACATCATGTCGGTACAATTGTGTCGGCCTTTTAGTCTACACAAATTGAAGTTAGTTAGAACAATTTGAAAGTCGACCGTGTCAATTGACTCATGTTTATTTTGCATTTTGTTTTACAATGACATTGGGTATACATTTCTAGCCCTGAAATACTATTTATAGTAGCTGATAATTGCCGAAGTGATATTGGTTTTTCTGTATGACCTGTCGACTACACACAGATTAACTTATAAGCGATTTAAGCACTGCTTAAGGCCCTCGAAAAAATTCAGCACGTACATTTTTTTTTTTACTGAGACAATTTAAAATCTGTAGATTTGCATATTAAGTCGATGGTCAGACTAGACCCGGTATAATGCCTCGACCCAATTATTCAACTGTTTATTGTAGACTAATTCGACCAATAGAAATGGTCAGATTACATCAGTGGCGTACATAAAAATTAATTTGGGGGGAGGTTATGAAAAAGATTTTGGTTTTAGTCAATGCATAAATAAAATAAATTCATAAATATGCATGTGTGCCGTATAACGAACCATACATTTCGGGGAAGATGGGGTTTGAACCCCCAAAACCCTCACCTATGTACGCAACTGGACTACATTTGGATTCCGGTTGAATTCACCAAAATTATACAATATATAAACATGTATTCCTATATAACTAAATATTTTGTTTTCATCCGGCATCGACTGTATACGACCGAATTTATCTAATTGTTGAGTTTTGTATAATTAGGTTATTTATGTGGATACAATTGTTTTGGTCGAGCTGAAATGCTTCTGTCGTACTTAGTGGTTAAAATCAAATTTAGCGTAATGGCGTAGTTTTTTTTTACAATTTGTAAATTCAAATTTTGATGAAAATCATAATTATTAAGGTATTTTTAAACGTTTTTCTAAGCTTGCGCCGTTAAGACCGCCTTCAAGGCTGCGTTTGTAGTCAGACAATTTATGGCGAGTGTACATCACTGCACTTTGTTTGTATTTTTATTCTAATTGAATAAATTATTTTATGTGCGTAGGTAGGTATAATTACTAATTTCTCTGTTATTTTTATTGGTACTATATTTGTGAACAATTGAGTAAAACTCGGCAATAACCGGTTTATTACTTTTCTTTGTGAAGGAATTTTAATATTTACGAATTTTAATATATTCTAATATAATAATAGAATATTGTGTAAAGATAAATTTATAATAATATTATTACGACAGTGGGTTTATTAAACCGACTAAATAAAGTAACACACGTCTCTTTAATGGACACAAAATCCTATACAATTAATAATTTATTGATATTATACCGAAATTTAAAAAGAAATATTTTATAAATAATGTTTGGAACAAACCATTTAACATAATTAATTTAAACAACATACAACAAAGAAAGTAAAAACAGCCGTTTCAAATAGAAAAATTTTTATTTATAAGTTAATTTTTATAAATGTAGATTTGTTTGAATAAAATAATAATGAATACTTTACCCATGTATAGGTTTAGAGTAAGAATAGGACTGCAGTACTTTTTGGTTATCTTAAGCAGAGATGATTACAAGGTAGCCGATAACACAATATAAAAAAATAAAACGAAAACTTTTTTACAAAAATGTGGTTAAAAATTGTTTCAAACTAATACATTTGTTTTAAACATTTATCACTGGTTTTTTTTTTTTTAATATTTTTATCATATTTCAATAAAAATATAAAAAGAAAAAAATAAATCATCAAACTTATTAAAATTTAAGAGGCGAAAATATGAACATTAATTTTACTCATAATACAATAAATATTTTGAGGATTTGAATGCACTGTTTTTCTTCATTCGACTTTGCGTTAGATGTTTTTACTTGATGGTCCAGATGTTTTTTTTTAATTTTCCCAGGCCGATCAGAACCAAAACTAATATTACGTTATAGAAAAACATTCCTATAACGTTCCATATCACTAATGGATGGTCTAACGTCCAACCTTTCAACGTAATATCCATCATTATGATGCCCGATCTACGTATTGGAAGAAACTCGGATACCATTTTTAACAACGGTGGCTGCGCTTCTACCGGCCAAACGCCACCTAAGTATAAAAACCAAAAAATCAAATAAAAATCTGCAATATAAGGCGATCAACATATCGTAAGACATTCATTATCTCGAAAAGTATTAATTATTTTCAAATATAAATCTATGTTTAAAGTTCAATAAATAGATGAGGTTTTATTTTAAGTATATTTTGGTGTTGACATTTTTAGTTTACGTCGATCGCTTGAAGAGATATTTTTAAGTTTATCGTTTTATGGGAAGGAGAGATTAGCCGAACATCATTTATGTTCCGACGTTGCATTTGCTATATGAATAGTGCTCCACTTTATCTCCTTTCCTATAAAACGAAAAATTCAAAATTGAAATAACTTGTAAACGGGTTCAAATTGCATTGTTAAAATGGCGAAAATTAGAGAATTCTTATAAAGCTGTTGAGGGAAATAGTGTAGCATAGTTATTTTATATTAAACATAAAATAGAATAACTACATTACTTATTTTCAACTGGTTTTGTTATTCAATTACAATTTAATTTGTACCTATAATATAATTAAGTTTACTATAGTCAAAAAACTTTTACGATTTATCATTAAAATGCACTCTGTGTATTAATGGTGTAAACCACGTGAATTTCAAATATCTATAACTACCTAAGAACCAGTTATTCGTGATAAGAAGTTCTAAACAATTTTTAGTCATAATATGTATATTGTATAAATTAATAGTATATTTTAATGAACAATAATAGTATTATTTGTATTAATATTTTTAATTTATGGTAGAAAACTTCGACATTTTTGTGTTAAGAATAAACGCTTATGTATCCGTTACCTAAAACCTTCGGGAGATGAGCCCAACTCAACAATGTCAATGAGGGCTGTGGCTCGGAGCTCCCATATACTCGGTGCCTTTGACCATGATTATAAAACCGATAATTGATCCTCTATATGAAATCAAAAGTCGTGATTATTATTACGGATGTATTGGTTGAATAATTGACTTCTTCATATTCCAGAGACATTAATATAGTCATTTTTTTTTAAATATAATATTTGAAAAATAACCTCGATATCCGATATCCTCTGCTTGTAGCCCATTATATTTATTGTTGCAGATATAAATTATATTTTTGCTACAGTTATTACTTATTTAACTATTTCAATATTATTAATATTTGTTTTTTTGACGATAATTATTTTTTTCTATAATTTTATTGTGTATACTTAATAAAATGTGTGAAATAAATAATATTAAATTAACTATTTTTCTAGTTATTGTTATCGCAGTTAAATAATTTTTTCGATTTTCACATACAACCATGTCATTAAAAATAGTAGTATGATAACGATTCCATTAAGATAACTGCAATATTATATAAATATACCAATATATTATTTACCCGACAGCAGAGCCTGCGAGAAGGTAAATCCGTTTACAATGGTTATGCCTACTAATTTGGTTGGTGACACACAGGCGACAATTAAACCTGAAATAATAGTAAATATATAGGTGTAAATCATTTAAATAAACATATTTTTGACGATAACAATAAAGGTCTATTTGCACACAGCAGTGACGTGACAGTGCCGTGAACGTTCCGGGATTCCACCGGCTGTGATTTCTATTTACACTGATTAGTGTTTCATCCGACGTTGTGTTTAGTGCATTATACCTAAAACCGGGAAAAGTCAACACCAAACTAAAAATCACGGCCGTGAAATGAGAAAAATATCGTCCGAAAGAAATCTCACCATCACGGCACGGTGACGGCGACAGCACTGCCTGCGACGGTACGGTCAAGCGCCGGACGAGTGAGTACAACTATCTTTAAGAATATTATTAAGCTGGCCGATGGAATCTCGGAACGGCCACGACACTGTCACGTCACTGTTGTATGTAAATAGACCTTAAAAAATTAAATTATGTACGATTAGGATGTATAATATATAATAACTAGCAATCAATGAAAGAAATTCAATTTAACGTGTCTGTCCGTTTCATTTCTTATTTCTATCAGAGTAAATCATTGTTGTCCAGGTTTTTATCTTTAAAAAGAGTATTTAATTGTCTTTGACACCCAAATTAAATGGTAATAACTATTTTTCTTTCGTGTATTTAAAGTAACACATAAATATAAAAAAAAGTTAGAAAAATAGGATATATAGTTAGGATTCAAGTTCTGTAATTTATATCTGTACACAACGATAAATCATTTCTAACAAAATACAATTCTGAGTTAAGAATGGTTATAAATATTTTTAAATGCCGTGTTATACTATTTTCATTCAAATTTAATCTTAAAACACTTAAAAAAAAATACTAAGTATACAAATTACTCTCAATGTGTTTTTGTATACTTCTTAGTGCATCTTATAATGAACCTCGTGTTGATTTTTCAATATAAATCTGCGTTACAATATTTTTTTTTTTATAATTGTTAATACATACCGAAAAAAAATCCCGTCCATCCTACGAATATCAGTAAAATATTGTACCCAACCAGACCGTTGGTTACTTGAATCGGATTTGCGTACCATATGTAAATAATGAATAAGGGAACAATCATTTCAGTTATTAATATCACACTAGAGATGGAAAACAATGCAAACACTAATTCCGATATTTTGAGGCCTAAAAAGATAATACAATTGTTATCATAGATTTGTTATATAACCATAGTATTCATAATTAATAATATAATTAATGATTATTAATTATATATTTTTTACTATATTGTCATTATTATTTGTATTATTATTATTAAAAATAGAATAATTATTATTTTAGGCAGTCAAAAACCTGCAAACTTAGAGCGTTGAAGGATTCCGTCCATTCTTTCTGAGAGCATGATACTCATTGAAAATAAGCATGAATGGTAAAATGCTATTCTAAAAAAATATAAACAAACGGAAATATTAAAAAGATTGTTTGAAATTAATATTTTAAAATATCAAAAAATTTGTATCTTTGAATCAATCAATCATATTACGTATTTATTTTTTGTGAGGACACTTTTTAATAAAATTATGTTACATAAATATCGTTAAAGCACACAAAACACTTTCTCTCTAGGTTGCATCACTGATTGATTGCATATTTAATTTTGTTGATAACAAGTATTAAACATTTGATTTTAATATTTTTCTTTGGACACTACTAAAAATAAAAATAGTTACATTGCTACTAAATAAGTCACTATTGAGTTGTTATTTGTTTTTACATCCTTCCCAGATGTTACAACGAGATTCTGAAAGAAAAATAAATAATCAAATTAAATTAATTGAGTACTAAAAATAATGATAATATTAATCGTTCAAATAAATGATATTCTGAATACTAAATAAAAAATATCCCATCGTTTGTACCAAGGGTATACCGAGTGCTTTTACTGCGTTTGAGTTATACGAACAACCACTTAAAATGTTCTCCGTTATACGATCCAACGTATCTTTTACATCGAAAACTATTTTATTTTTGAACAGAACATCTGTAATTATATAATAATAATGGTTAACAATTATGTGTAAATAGGTAAGTACCTATTTAAAAATATCAATCAAACGAGAAATCGTAGTACGAAAGGTAATATTTTACTAACTATACTTGTTTAAGTCCACATAAACTTGCGAATTGTAATAGTAATTCTGACGGTCAACGATATATTTGCTAAATGCCCTGGTATAGTTTTCCGGGAAATGAATAAATGCTATGTACTTGGAGCTATTGCTCATTGTCATTTCACCGTCATTACGGTTCTCAACTTCGTTCTGAAATAATGCGGAATAAAATTATCAACATTATTCTTTATAAGTGAGTTGGGAGTAAATTGTATTCCTAAATGGCTTACTAGTGTGTAACCGAGTAATTCCAGACGGCTCATAACGACACCGCTAATTTTCTGATTGTTTTCTCCATCGAGAATGCACCCGTCGATGTTTGAACGGCGGAAATCCCAAAAATCGACCTCGTCGTTTTTTATTGCGATCTTCATATCTTTAAATTCGGTTCCTATACAATTGCACGTTATCCACGATTGCAGTATGGGCAGCAAGAACATTGTCATCAATAATCTATACTTGTCGTTTTGCAGAATAATATCGAAATCATTATTTTTCAAAATGAGAATATTTATAAATAGTACATAAGTGTCCAAACCTAATATACTTACACATAATCACGAGAAAATAAATTAATGTATTTTTTCACCAGAGCTTTAGCCCTATTGAAATTAAATTTGTCCTTGAGTATTGTTAATTTTTCCGTTTGTGGAGTATTATCGTGGTTCACTTGAACACCGTTATCGTTATTGATGACAACCTATAAGTGAATAAATCAGATAAAATATTTTACTCATACGCGTTTCAAATTAGTACATCCAAGTGAAAATGTTATATTAAACGACTGAAAGTACATATACTTATATTATAATATAAACTCGTATTTAATATTAATGGCGGTCAAATGATTTTGTCATGGGAGGAAGGATACGGATAATTTTTAAGAACAGCTATCATTTCATTCAAATTTCGATTAAAATACGTCAATATTTTTCAATAAAAGTCATCTGAGTGAGAATTCGCATTAAAACATATTATAGGTTCTCGTTTAAAAAAAATAAAGTAGCTTTACTCAATCGTCATTCACTTTGTATAAAAATTCTAAATATTATGATTCGAATGTATGCATAATTTAACCATACAAATGGAACAAGCTTTAATTATGCTTAAAAAATTATCTTGTAGATTATTATTAATATTTAAGAATAATGAGTTAATGGGGGGGGGATCAGCTATATCGAACCCTCTATTCAACCGCCCCTATATAATATTTCTATACGTACTTGATTTTTATTTTGGTTATAGCATAGTTTCAGAAAAGCTGATTCCAACGAATCCGTATTATATTTAGCGAGGATATGTTGAGGCGATCCTTCTTCTATTATTACTCCATTTCTCATTAAACCAATCTGCAACGATAATAGTCAAATCAAAACATAATGTATACACAAAATACGTCTGTCGTCTATTAGTTTTCATTAAAATTTAACCTCGAATAGTGTTCATTAATTATTAAAATTTAAAAGTGAACCTATTATATTAAACAATTAATGAATACAGTCACTACAAGCTATTAGGTAAAAAATCAGATTTAATATGAAGATAATATAATTAAAAAGATCTTTAATCATAATGTACACTATCGCATGTATAATATATGTATTAGATCAGTCAGATTTCACAATCATTAAGAAGGTCAATTTAATATTATCACTGATTATTTCAAGCTGTTTAAACAGTTAACATTGTACAAATTCCAGTTTTAACTCCAAAACTATTTTCTATCGGTTTATAAAAAATACAAATGAATTTGGTAATGTATTACACTCACGGAATTAGCTAGATTTGCTTCCTGTATATAATGCGTAGTTATAATGATCGTTTTTTTATGTTGTTCGACCATCTTTGAAAACTCCATCCAAATTCTAAACAGCGTATGAGATTATTGAATAGGTAATTATTATAGTTAAACTTAAACAATATTAAAATAAATTACTCGTGTCTAATTAAAGAATCGATTCCGACTGTTGGTTCATCCAAAAAAATAATTTTTGGATCATGTAGTATACTAATTGCCAGAGATACTCTTCTACTCTGACCACCACTAAACATAAAAAACTAATATTATGAACATCAGCAAAAGGTTAGTACGTAAATATAGTATTATAATCATCGAATAAATAGTAACTAAGAATCCATGTTTGCCATTTATGGGCAAATCGACGACTCTCGTTTATCGATACGCAATCGTTAAATATATTTCTCTTTGTTGTTGTGCAATTTTGAATACATGATAAATGAAATATTATTTAGTGATAATCATTGTTTTTACTTTTTTTATGAAATTCAAATAAATTTTACCTCAGATTGCTTATTAAACTATTGAAATCTGGTAATTTGAGAAATATCATAAGTTCGTCAATTCTTTTCGCAATTTTTTTCTTGCGCATTGCATAGAGCGATCCGTAGTATTCAAACGTTTCTTTGATAGTCAATTTCTCGTCCAAACATAAATCCTTAAAAAGTATATCGCAAAGGTTTTTAATTCAACAATATCTGTTTAGTTTTGGAGTTTTAACGCATACTTGTGGCATGTAACCAATGTCGTTTAATCGTTGTGCATTCAATTCTATATCTCCAGAGTCCAACGAAGTTTTTCCCAAAATACACTGAAAAAGTGTCGATTTACCGCAACCGCTCGGTCCCAAAAGGCCATAACTGTCAGAACATAATATTTTGATAACATATTTATAACGACGTTCTAATTAAATGACTTATATGTTCTCTAAAATAGTAGGATACAATTATGAATATTCGAATGAAAATGACCGAGAAATTTTGTTAACATTTAGAATTAAATACAACCTACAATAGAACAACCCTAAGTTCAATCACTGAAGAGACGTTGCATATTTTGCTTTTTTAATAAAAATTTTAACTTTAAGCACGTCTTATAGAAGAAATTTACTCAAAACTAAAAACACCGACAAGAGGCCTTTTTTGTTGCATTTTTAATCTCGTTGGTGAACAAGAATGTCGTTTTTTGACTATCTTTATTTGAGCAAATAGAATTGAGCAAAACTGAAAAATACGTAGAAATAACGGGAAAATATGTGATAATAATTATTTTATTATTTTAAATTTTGTTTTTACAATGTAATTGAGTTTAAAATATTCGTAGAGACTTAAAATATTGACAGAAAGTTCGTAATTGCTTTTTCTAAATGTGGTAAAATTTTAAAAACATTTGATCTATTTTTAGCCAATAAAAAAAACCGAGAATAAACGTAGGAAATATGGTAAAATATACGGTAGTTTGGGATTTCTGTTGTTATTCGGTTAAAAATTATTTTGGAAACATGTAATGTTCATAAACTACTTAGATATACGAGTATTGGCCTTGTGTAAACATGGTAAAATTGTCAAAACATTCTAGCTATATATATGTATTTGATATTTTCATGTTTTATATGTGTTTTTATTTGGTTGGTCATTAAAATTAAATGATTTGAGTAAAATTCTTGAAAATTTAACACAAGGTATACTATAAGTTGTACTTAGTTGTCTAAAAAACGAATTTGAGTTTAATGCAATGATCGATCGTTACTATATTTTGCATGGCATTACGATATGCATGCTTGTAAACAAGCGATAATTTAATAGGGTCGAGGTCTTTTAACGCAAAAAGTAACATTTAAACCAACGTTTGCTGATTTTGTGTTATTCTTGTGAAATTGAATACATTTTTTTTTCATTATTTATTTTTTTTAATATCCATGCTATTTTTCGTATTTATTACAATATATTGTTTTATGCGTTTATGATTATAAATTAGAACAATATGATTGATGACGTACCTAGTCGGTTTATTACGAATTTCCTTAAAACTATAATTTGTATAATAACAATAAACGTAATACTCAAAATGAATATGTATGCTGTTTTTATTTCGTATAATTTATTGAAAAATAGAGATACTTAAATTTATGTGTATAAAGTTTCTTACTCGAGGTCCAAAAATTCCAACGTAAAAGATTGGGCAATGTGATACATCTGATTTCATAACTTAGTATTAAAATTATATAACAATATATTATATTATAAATTATTCAATTTAAATAGTGATTATTATACTTCTTTTTAAGTAGTTAATTTTTATGAAATAACAATAATGTAAATGAATAAAATAATAGAGAATGATCATTGTAAAATAATATGAAGTTTATCATATTATCTTTGCTTATTTTGAAATGGTAGTTAGTCAAATTTTTTGAATTGATATTTTTTCTAATTCTGTTAAAAATATTCGTAAAGACTTGAAATTTGGACAGATAATTTATATTTGCTATTTCTAGAAAGTTAAGACTTTCGGTATTATGATTTCATATTTTAAAATTTGTATGCCTAATGTGCTCTACTAGAAATATTGCTCCAATAGAAAAACAGCAAAATACCTCCTTTGTTTTATTTTTAGTCTTGTTGGTGATCAAGAAAAAAAAGTTTTTTCAAATTTTTCTTGTAGTTTTTTAAATAGTTGAGCAAAATCGAAAATACGTAGAAAAAAAGGGGAAAATTAACAAAAAAAAATTAATTTAAAAATTTTAATTTTGTTTTTAATTTTTATAATTCACTTTAAATTCACTTCGCTTTGGATCGTTTTACGTTAGCAATGGTTTATCATTGGTTACAGGTATGATAAATAACTTTATGTATCCTACTTTTGCCACTTTCCTCCTGTTCCCGTTTCCCTTATCAGTTCTTTATTTTTTGTCAGTGAGCCATTTTTTTACCAGCAAATTTTCTTTGGAGTATAAAGTGTAGCATCTTAATAATTTTATCTAGTTTATGCCCAGGGATTCTTATGGGTTTTCAAAATAATTTGAAAAAACCTGAAAGAAAATTATAAGTACATGCCACAGCATTACCGAATTATTATTTTAAATTTGTTTACTCGATGTTTTTTACCAGAAATATTGTTCCAATCGAAAAATGACAAGAGACCAGTTTTCCTTCTTTTGAACTATAGCTACTGTGAAAGTTATTTTCAGATATCTTAAATATTTTAAAATTATTAGAAAAACCCGAAGAAGATGAAAAATATGATTTTTTTTTTTCAAATTACGGTGCATTGATTTTATTATTTAAATTTTGCAAGTGGTTTACGTAATTTTTATTCGGTAGTTATCCTGTAGATAAATTGTTAGAGTTACAAAAATACTTAAACATTTAACAGAAGGTTAATTATAAGTATTATAAGTTAATTAAATACTTTTGTAGAGCTACGATTTTATATGAATTAGTGCTTTTGATTTCGCGTGTACTTAAATGTACACGTGTAGGTATGAAATCAATGTGTAATATAATACAAATAGTAATTTACATGTATTTGGGTACTTTTTATATTACAATGGTTAGGTTTTGATAGGTGTATATTCAAATAAAATTAGTGGGGTAGGTAGCACGATACTGGATTTGTTATAAAAACTTAAAGGCATATCCACGTAACGATTTCCAAACCCTGCGGTTACAGATTCTTTCCTCTAGAAATTATAGTTTTCAATTCACAGGAGCAACTGGTTTGCCGTCAACTGTTCGTATAATAATATCATGAAATTAAAATCAGATTCTTACATAGATCCAGATGCCACTTTCATGCTCAATCCATTGAGTATAATATTGTTTGTCTCATAACTTTTGTACGCGTTTGTCACTTGAACGTCATAATTAACAATACTATTATGTTGTTCGACGAACATGATAGTTTAAAACTGTTTTTTGAATTATGTTATATTCAAAGTTTAAAGTATAAAGTAGAGTATTTGTTTTACATCAAATTAAACTGTGGTAATAATAATTTTACGTGTTGAAGTTTACATATTCGTATACTTGAACAATACTATCTAAGCTGATAGAAATTAGATGTTCAAAATACGTGTTTTGGAAAAAAACCTATCCCCTCCCGAAAATATATCCATCACTGCAACCAAATAAATATTAAATATTAATACATTTTAATAAGATATGATTTTTTTATTGTATACATTAAAATAACGCGCTAATTAAAACTCACATCCTGTGTTTTATACAATTATATAATTTTGAAATTTGCGAAAACCGTACAATTAAATGCACAACTATACAGTAAGAAGTATATCAAGGCAATCTAGTTTTATAATTTTTTAACTACAACGCGTATTGTGAGTATTTAATATTAATACTAATATGGGTTGCATATGAACTGAGTTCCAATAAAACCTCCTAGGACTAAGTGAGTCCTGGGTTTGTTTTCAGGTATACAGGATGTAACTGGACTATTTAACATTTTTACATGTAACTACAATGTAAAAATGTCAAATAGTTCTGTTACACTCTGTATACTAATTGAGTCCTTTGTAATTTTAGCTATAATACTAATTGTGGGTCATTAAAGTCTTTGCTCACTAATATATTTGTTATATTATAACATTATATATTATCCTTCAAAGAGATTTGGAATCGTGAATTCAAGAATGACGACGCGATCAATAAATTAGAAATAAAATATTGTTTTACCTGTCCTTACCTAATTTACGCTAGGGTATAGACCTATAGATATCCTCACGTAAACCTGGAGTCATTGGACGAAAGTTACTATTCTATTAAAATATTCTAAGTTAAGTATTTAACAATTCGAAACTTCATGCACTCAGATAACGAGTATTAGTATTTAAATTAGGAAATAGAAAGGTTCATAAGTAATAAAGGAATCAAGCACAAGTGATTAGCTTAAAAATCGGAGATAGCTATTTGTGAGAGATTTTCGAAAAAGATCAGTTTTGCATACTTGTTGTGCACAGAGTTCTTGATGAAGGCTGGAATTTCTCGAGTGGTTAAGATGCTCTGAGATTCTGAGAATAAAAAACTCGTTATATTTTATCTGAGTTTTAACGGTATCTAGTGTGGGAGTGTGACGACGGCGGTGTCATTTACAGACGGCGCATTTCTTTGTTTATATTGACTCGTATTGAATTGTTTTTAATGAAAGTAATTTGTGGGATATGGATCCTTCTCGATCAACGAAATAACCGTATATTAATATTTGTGAGTCCTAAAAGGTCCCATTGGCCTTTTTTGGTTTTCACATTTGTTGAGAAAACCCCTGAGAAAACTGAAAAATGATCTCGCTAAAGTTCCTAAGAAAACTGGAAAAAAACATGGGAAACCGGGAAAAACGTAGGAAAAGCAGGAAATAGGTACAATATTAAACAAATATTATTAAAGAAAATATATTCGTATAATGCATATGCATTATTATTTTACCATAATATAACATATGTATTGTTGACAAAGCCACAATATCAACCGAACTCCGCTTTTTCGCTAGCAATGATTAATAATCGTTGCGTACAGAAATACGTTAAATTTCTCCTCTACTACCTTCTTTACTTCTCACCAATAACAGTGGTCTATTCACGTGCAAAGTATGTCCGTCTTTTTAAATTATTTATTTGAGGTATAGGCCAGTCTACTCTCTACGAAATTAGGTAGTTTTAGATTCTGATTGGAGCGAAGAAATGTATGGTTTTAAATTTTTTTTTTATCTGTGCACAACATTTCTACCACAAATCTTGTTTCGATTTTCAATTGTATAAAGGATATCGGAATATCTTGTGATCGAATCGACGGAAATCAAAAATGTCAACACTAAAATGTCTTAATTTATACTCCATCTATTTTTGGACTTTTTAATGTAGGTTGCAATTTGAAAATCAAAAATAGTTAGTGGCTTTATCCCCAAAAAGAAGGGTGAAATAAAAACATAAATATAAAATTGTAGAGCAGCTTGTTTCTTAAATATTCTAGAAAACGAATTCCAGGAGAAGTTAATATTTTCCGAGATAATGAGTGTACCCACTTAAATGGATCACTCGGTATACCTAAGACCTAATACATAAATAATATGTTATGTATAACATAACTTTTGCTGAATAGGCGTACCTATAATATAATATTTTAATAATAATGTGTAAAATAATGTGTAGTATTATAGTTGTGGGAAGAATATAATATAATATGAATTTAGGTTTCACTTGATATATTTGTGCTAATAGAGCATATCTATCAATATTGCTATTGTCACCTGGATATATTGCAGTTTACCTAGTTAAAAAGAAATAGGACCTTATATTTTAAAAATAATAAGCCATTTACATAGTGTTTCAATAATTTCTTTTGATTTAAGTATTCAAAAAGTTGATGAAGTAAAATTCCGGATTAACTATTTTCATATTATAGCAATCATTCATAACAATTTTTTTTTTTCAAAGTGTTTTACATTTTGGCTTGTATGCTTCATGGAAATATATTTGTACAGTATTTTTTTTTTTTCGAGAACTTGTCTACCAGTAAGTTTGCTAGTAGAAATCTATTTCTGGTAATCTCGTATATATTTATATCGGAAATGGATTTGAATTTGGAGATTCAGAAAATAATCTATAAAAAACGATGCAAAATTATAACTCAAAAAGGCATATTATATATATATATGTATATTACTTTTTTATCCTACTAATATAGCTAAAGCCGTACTAAATTTAATCAACGTAAAAACTAAACAAAATTAACACTTTTTATTGTTAAATGGCAAAAAAGAAAATGTAATCATATTTTTGTGTAAAACAAATCATAGATTTTAATCAAAAGTTGATGACATTTATATTTATGTGGATGGAACATTCAATTATTGTAATATTGTTTACAATTTTTTTCAATTCATGGATATTTGAATAGTCATTATATTCCATTAGCTTTTGCTTATTACCAAATAAAATTACACTAACGTATAACATGTACATAGTACATGTTTGATCATTCTATTTATAATATACAACATGGTCGTCTTATCTTTTATTTGAAAAAAAATATTTTTCCATTACATATCATGAAACAAATCTCTAAATGTGTACTTGATGTATAGTAAACGTCTAAATTTCAAAAACGAGTAACTTTGATTATTTAATTTATAAACCATTAGTTACATAAATTATAAGTATTTTATCTATATTATTATTAATTTCTAATTTAGATATATGAATATATGATTTAAAACGATTTATATAACTAATTTAATTATTTACCGCAGATAACTGGTTTACCGTTTATCTGAATAAATTAAAAATACACCATACACATAATACAGTTAGTTTTTCAATTGAGATAAAACATAATACTGTTTACGACGCTCAATAATGGAATATAAACTAATATGAGGTACGTATACAAATGTAGTTATAATTATGATAGACTCATCGAACACTTCACTTATCGTTAACATTACAAGGAGGAAATGTCAGTATTTTTTCACTAAACACACATAAAATTTAACAGACAGTGTTTTTATCTTCGACCGACATTATTTTTATTTTTGCATGATCCACATGTTTTTTTTAAATTTTCCTAGACCGATTATAACCAATACTAAAATAACGCTGTATGAAAACATTACTACAATATTTTTTATGACCGACGGATGTTCCAACGTCCAACCCTTCAACGCGATATTAGTCATTACGTTGCCCGCTAAGCGCATCGGAAGTAACTCGGTGACCATTCGTAATAACGGTGGCTGTGATTCTATTGGCCAAACAGCGCCTAAATATAAAAAAACAAAAAAACAAATTAAATTAAATCTGCCATACTTTTCCAAAAGAACGACAGCTAGAATCGTGAATATTAGTGTTAAAACAGAAAATAAAATAAAGGTGACGAGTAGGAAAAACTTCTAGGTGTATATATCGTATTATTGCTGCTAAGGAAAATTAGAATTAATGTATACTACCTATGTCCAATAATTTCTAAAAAGAATAAAGTATCGTTTCCATTCCCATTAAATGGCATCAGCAGTTTATCAATGCAAAAGTATTATCATTAAGGTTGCCATTAAAATGTAAAAACGTTTTATCACATTTTTTTACATTCCAAACTTCTATTTTTGCGTATAACATAGTATAATTATACCAATTATAACAATATAATAATATTATGTACCTACCCGATAGTAGAGTCTGTATAAAGAAAACTCCGTTTGTAAGGGTATCGCCTGTTAACCTGTTTGGCGAAATACAGGCGACGAGTATACCTGTAATAAAAGTATCGATATAACTATAAAATATAAATAATATATTAAATATTAGTGCCACTTATAACATGTGTACACGTAAAATTAAAAATCTCGTGCTAGAGACCGTACAATCCGGAATTCACGTAAATTCGCAAATGTAAAAACGTGAAAAGATAAACAACACGTGAATATAAACTATAAAATAATCAATTGAACATATTTGAAATTTTTCTCTTTTTTGTTGCATATTATATATAGTGACTCATAAAGTCATCTTTTGATTTTTGAAGTTTCGATTTTATTTTTCTACTAAGAAATTTTACTCCGATCAAAAAATTACAAGACACACGACACGGTGGTACTGGATACATTATATAATCCCATATTATATAAAATGTCTGTACACATAATGATTATTATGGCGTATTGACTTGCTCAATGCATCAACTAGATTTAGAATACTACGAAAATGCTCTTTTTGCATCTTTTGGTTGGAGCAAAATTTCTTGTAAAAAAATAAAATCGAAAATAATGAAACTTAATGATCACGTGAATATAAATCAAGGAATTCATGTAATTTGTGAATTTACGTGGTGTGGTCACAAAATGCATCATGTCACGTGAACATAAATTACGGAATCCACGTGTGACGTGAAATACGTTAATATGCAACACATTGTAAATATCCGTGTACACGTGTGCAATAAAACACTTATTTTATTACGATCTCTATTAGATACATCATGTTTTGAATGCTAAAACATTAATGCAAAATAGACCGATTTACATTAATGGTTGACGGTATTGAAATACGGATACCGGTATTGCGATATTATAAGTACTGGTATATGAAACGGTATAACGTAATTCTGGTCAATACCGAATAACCGAAATACCGATAAACACCGGAATACCGTTTGACGATATAATAATTTAAATTATTTCACTGAATAAGTGACAACACTGATAACGGTGTAAAATCGATACAAAATGTTTTATTTCATGTTGGTGGTAGATTCAATGTTTTCAACACGGTTTACCCTTCAAGCGGCATTTGACACTATATGCATTAGCTACTAATAAATTTACTGTCGTACATTGGTATTGCGGGTTACCAGTATGTACCAGTATTCGGCTATACCGTTCAAGCAGTATTTGAGTAATAATCGGTATATCGTATAAATAGTTTACCCTATATACTTGTAGTTAAACGGAATTTTTTAAATATTTTTAAAATCTATTATTTTATAAAATTCTACATTCAAGTGATTAAAATTTACAATCATAGTTTTGAAAAAAAATTTATCAAAAACATTATTTTTGACAATTAAAACAGGTCTAAAATATTAAATTACAAGTATTTTATTCACTCTAATTTTTGGGTGTGAAGCGAATACATGTTTTTGATTTATAAACGGCAACCTATATTATAATTTCTATAAATAAATAAAATATAAGGCTTGCATTGTTTTAGTGTTGAAATTTAACAGTAGAACAAATTGTCAATGGTTTGATGGAAATTAAACATTTCATCATAAAGGTGTGTTGAATCTAAAACGCAGCTTGTATATGGACATTTTCAATTCAGGTTGACATTAAAAAAAAAATTTAATAAGAAGCCATTTCACCTTTAAAAAATAAGGGTGACCAAAAATAATGGAATGTAACATTGTATAGCCGCTTGTTTCTTAAATTGTCAAAAATATAGTTATTGAAATAAATAAAATCATTTTGAAGTAATTGAATGATAAAAGAATAGTTGAATGTATAGTTAAAATTATAAAATAACAATGATTACTCTGTGCACCAGACAGTAATTTTTAATATTATTACATAATACACAGTCGCATAAAGTGCAACAGGACGTATCTCAGTTTTTGGAATTTTACGGACGACGAAAAATATTTCAGATGGCAGAATTTACCATATTTCAACATTTTAAGAAAACGACTACACTTATTGCAACTCTGTTTTCATGTGTTATGGGCTGATATATCAGGATTTGATAAAAGTGATGATTTCATTTTCACATGATTGACAATGTTATCACGAATCAAAAGAAAAAAAAAATAATAATGGAAAAAAAAACGTTTGTTTTAGCACTTGATTTATAAATAATGAGTTTATTTTTATCAAAGATACGTGCTGTTGCAGTTTAAGGGACGATCCATCGGTATGTACCGTAAAAAAAACCGGTCCATCCAGCGAATATCATTAAAACTTCGTACGCTACTAGACCGTTGGTCACTTGTATCGGATTCTGGTACCATACGTATGCGATGATTACGGGAATAATCATTTGGATAATAACTATTATGCTGGCTAAGGCAAATAGAGAAATCACCAATTCCACTATTTTGACACCTAAATTAAGAATATAATAATGTTATTATTACATAATATAATGATTATTATTAATTTAAAAACAGAATAATTATAATTAATATAGATACTCAAACACCTGCAAACATTGATCGCATGAGGATTCCGTCCATTCTCTCCGTGATTATGATGCTCAATGAAAATACACAAGGAAAGTAGTATGATCCCCTAAAAAAAAAAGCCCAATCGGAGTATTGAAAAGACATCTTAGGATAATGAGGACGGGTGCAGCCACTGTTATAGGTAATTTTATGTATACCTGTAAGCAACGATAAAACATTGCTTACGAAAAAACAATTCTGAGCGAAGTTCAGTTGATAATGTTGCTTTGTAAACAATATATATGCCATATTATTGCAAAATAATTAAATAGGCTCTATTTTCTACATTTTCTTTAATAATATTTCTTTAATGTTGTACCGATTTCGCCAGTTTTTCACATTTTCTGAGAAAACTCCGAAGAAAATTGAAAAATGACTTTCAAGTACTTACCCACACCGATTTAATTTCAGAAAATGTGCTACACATAAAAATAGGAGCAAGTCCTCTGGTAAGTGGGAAAAGGAAAATAAAATGCTCCCCTTAAAAAACAAAAAAACCATAAAAAAAATCCCACCGGAATACTAATAATATTATTTGAAATAAATTTTATATGTAGGTATCGCAAATATAAATTATTATATTATAGTATTTTTGTAATGAAAATAGTTTCTATGCGTATATTTATCTGTATGATGTTAAATTTTTTGACGATGATTATGCTAATAATTAGATTTTAACTTATATGCTAATTATATTATTAAATTAATAATAATATTAATGACTATATTATACGAGTAAGAATCGTCCTTACATTACTACGAAAAATGCAGCTATTGAGTTTGTATGCGATTTTACATCCTTTCCATCTGTTATAGAGAAATCCTAAAAAAAAATAAAAAATAAATGAAAAGAAAACGTACAGTTTTATAAGTGATAAATTATTACAGTATATAAAACAAAACGAATAATTTTAAATTAAATACCAACCAATCATTTTATTATGATTAATTTTATGTATATATAATATATAGTTGTCTTGATTTATTTTACATCATAATTTAATAACGATACCAATTAAAAAAACATTCTTGAGCAGCAGAGTTCCGTTAAAATTCAGCCAATTTCCTCCCTCCCTACTCTATACAAACATTGTTCATAAAACACAAATACTATAATAATATTAACGAAATACTATAATACTATAATATTGCACTCTATAACCATATTACTGCAAAAACAAAAAAGACGCCCTAGGATAATAATTGAGACGGGTGCAGTATTTGTATACCAAGCTGTAAGCAACAATAAACCACTGCTAATGAAAACACGTTTTTGAGCAGAGTTCAGTTGATAGTGATGTTTTGTCAACAATTTATGTCATATTACAAGTATATAGGCATTATATATTTTCTTAAATAATGTTTGTTTTATGAACAGATTTTCTCGTTTTTCCTACGTTTTCCCCGTTTTTAACATATTTTGTATAAGTAGTACTTATGTAAACTTATTTTAAGTACCTATAACGAATATAGTGAGTCGTTTGCATTTGCATTAGTGGCATCAATTCTATTTTAGAGGAAAATTTGACAATAGAGTATAAATAAACAGTGAATTTGTTTTTTTCTTTCTTTTTCACTTTTAACTACATTTTTGATACTCAATACAGTATGATAATATTATGCTATATCTCGCAATATGAAAAAAAATTAAACTACTAGTTATAATCTAACCAATTGTTATAAAAAAAAAAAAAAATCCTAAAATACTGAATAAATATTTCATCATCCGTACCATAGGCGGAGAGAGCGCTTTTGTGTTATATGAACAGCCGTTCAAAATGTCCTCCGTTATGTGAACCAGGGTATTTCGTAAATCGAAAATGATTTTATATTTATACACGACATCTGAAATTATATTATACGGATTGTATGATTATTAATAATTGTTTATAGACACTTAAAATTAGTCAAACGAAAAATACCGTGGTACGAAAAGTAATAATTTACTAACTATACGTGTCGTAATTCACATAAGCCTGCGATTGGTAATCGTAATTATCACGGTCATTTATGAATTTTGTAAACGATCTCGTATAGTTTTCTGGAAAATGAATGAACGCTATATACTTGGAGCTATTGCTCATTATCATTTCACCGGTGTTACGGTCCGCCACTTCGTCCTAAAAAAAAAAAAAATCAGGTTTAAAAATAAAAAATATATTTTACTTGTGGTGACAAGTTGCATTCTTAAAAACGGTATTTCAGCATCGTTGTGCATGCCATGTCGTGTCGTGTCCACACGATCATTTACATATATTATGCTGAGCACATCGAAAAATCAACTGACCATTGTAATCCAAACTAGAAAAAAGACGGATACAGCTCGACTGTATAAACTTGCCGGCAAGTCTTGCTTACTGAATTTTACCATGCGATTACAACGGTCAATGCGAATACGACAAAGGTCACGTGATGTCGCTAAAACAACGTTTCAAATCTATCGCCAACTCACCAGTGTGTAACCGAGTGATTGTAGACGGTTCATAATGACGCCGCTGATTTTTTGATCGTTNAAATTATCAACGCTTGTAGGATGGGCAGGATGAACATGGTGAACATTAACCTATACGTGTCGTATAGCACAATAATATCGAAATTATCCTTCGTTTCTAATCGTGAATACGTATAATTTATAAATAATAGATAAAAACCTAATGAATACTTACACGTAGTCACGTGAAAATGAATGAAGGTATTTTTTCATCAGAGCCTTAACCCTAATGAATTTAAATTTGTTCTTTAATTTTGTTATATTTTTCGGTTGTGGTATTGTTTTGTCGTTGTTTACCCGAACAGTGCCGTTATGGACGATCTATAAGTTATTAAAACAGATAAAATATTACGATCATATCAGTTTAGGATTGTACAACCAACTATGTATTGTATACGTACATGGTTTTCATTTTGATTACAGCATAGTTTTAGAAAAGCCGATTCTAACGTATCTGTATTATATTTAGCGAGGATAAATTGAGGCGATCCTTCTTCTACCAGTACCCCGTTTCTCATTAAACCGATCTGTAATAGTATATAATACATGTAAAAATCAATTTGATGTCCTGTATACTTATTTATAAGATTGCATTCAGCCAACGTCGTTTTATTCTGTAATCAATGTATATAAAATCCGAATACCACTGACTCACTGATTGCTGTATCTCAAAAACTACTCATTGTACTCATTTGACATTTAGAATAGTGGTTCCTCTAATACTTTTATCGTGCATTAAGAAAAAAATTTTGAAAAATAAACCTCTAAAGGGGATTAAATAGGGGTTTTTAAGAATATTTGGTACGAATATCTAATTTATTTTTGTTTATTCAAAGGTTACCTTGGTGTTAAGGAAAAGAAACTTTTGTAATAATAATAATTATTATTATTATTATTACTATATTTTGCACTAAAATTCCACAAAGAACACATTTAGTCCGCCGAAAGAGGACTATCAACTTCCCCCACCTATTTGTTTTCATTTAATTTTGACACGGCCGAAACTAAAAATTAATATGAGTAAAATAATAATAATAATAATTGGCTGGGGCAACGCCGGGCACGGGACAGCTAGTAATTTATTTATATATATACACCTTAAGTGTTTTATCCACAACATAATATATGGTCAATAAGATATAGGTAATTAAATATAGATTAAACTCAAACATGTTTTTTTTTAAACCACTAAGTATTATAAAGTATACCTTGTGTTCAATTATTAAACATTTCTCTTAAGTCATATAATTTTATTAACCGATACCTACCAAATAAAAAAAAAATTGTAAAATTTACAATATAATTGATCTGTAAATAGCCTAAAAGTAGTTTAAATGTTTTGAAAATGTTAACAAGTCTACAAAGGGTCAATAAAAGTATTTATTGAAAACTATAAGTCCATACAGTTAATTTGAACCGAACAACAAGAAAAAAACCCAAGTCTTTCAGAAAATATACTATAAATATGGAATTCGGACTAAACATTCTTAGTCTTTTCGGTTTTCTCGATTATTATGAAAACTATTTAAGATATCAAATATTATAAAGAAAATAAGAAAATAATTTGTATCATATCGTATTGTTTAGCTATATTCATAATTGTAAAGTTTAAGCGAGATATGACTGTGTGAATTATTGATTATTGTACCGCGTTTAAAAATCAACAGAAAAGAAACAACGGGTGTGACATTGATAATTTTCTTATCTTTAATTTTGATGATGAATCAATTAGCTTTTTTATGAAAATTAACAGCACATACGAGTTATCCCTATTAAATGAAAATTTGCCATGCATCGTTGCTGTATAATTCTGACCTTAAAATGGTTTACGACGATGTGCTTGTTTACATTGAATTGTAAATTATAAGTAGGTACTCACGCAGTCGGCTTCACTTGCTTCCTCGATATAATGCGTTGTTATAATGATCGTTTTTTTTTGTTGTGCGACCATATTCGAAAACGCCTTCCAAATTCTAATATTTAACAATGTTGGACATAATATAATATTACAAAANTATTGTTGAATAAATAGCAATTGAGAATTATGTCGATAATTCTCGTTTATCGAATAGTCATATTTAATTTTTTATCAGACCATTTTACAGAAGCCAAAGTATGGTAAACGTTCACATTTTAATCTTAGAACACTGATTGGAATTTATGATTATTATTGTTCGTTTATTAAATTTTAATAATATATACCTTAACTTGTTAATGAGACTATTCAAATCCGGTAATTTCAGAACTTCCGTAAGTTCATCTATCCTTTTCGTTATATGTATCTGGCGCATTGAATAAATTTTTCCGTAGAACTCAAAAGTTTCCTTTATGGTCAAATTAGTGTCAATACATAAATCCTTAAAAAGTATATCGTATAGAAGTAATGATAATTAATAATATTTATTTCGTTTGATATTTTAAGTGAATACTTGTGGCATGTATCCAATGTCATTTAAACTTTGTGCGTTCAATTCGATATTCCCGGAGTCCAACGGTAATGTTCCCAAAATACATTGAAAAAGTGTCGATTTACCGCAACCACTCGGTCCCAAAAGTCCATAGCTATTGGAAAAAAAAACATGTATATTTATAACACTTGTGTCTTTTATGCCATAATAATAATGAAATATTTGAATATTTTACAATATTGTTTTACACGATTATCACCGTCGATATTATTATTATTGTGTTAACATATAATATTATAGGTACATCTACTCAGAAAAATATGGTATGCAGTGGCCGGCTGTAACAGGGTCAGTGCGCTACTGCCTTAAGCTAATGCGTTTATTTTATAAAAATTGTTAAAACGATTATTAAAATACTATTGTGAAATTCCTTTTTCTAAACTAGTGTTAATTATTTGTTCCTGATTAAATAACAAATCCCATCGTTTGTACCTAAACGCTTCTCTAACAAGCGTTTTTTAAAAAATTGAGGGGCCAGGGAAATGCTAGCTTCCCTTTTTTTTGATTTATGAAACTTGTGTCATGTTTTTGTATTTCGTTTGAACTTTGTGAACTTCAAGTTACAAAAATATTTTCCTATCAATATACAAAAAAGAGAATAATATAATATCATGTACATATGAGGTACAAACAAATGGCACAGGTATCATATCATATTCGAAAAAAGAGAGATTAGAATTTTTCTAGCTCTTCAATTTTTTTAAAAGCGCTAGTTCGAGAAGCGTTGAGATAGAAACGACGGGCTTGTGGTAAAATCAGGCACGAACAAGGTAAAAACGATTAGAATTGGTCTTAATTAGAAATTCAAAAAAAGGGGCTGGAAAATGGACCTGTAAATTAACACTTAAACATTCAACTACGAGCAGTAGTTGAAATATATAACTACCAAGAACTAGGATAAGGGAATTAGTGTTAGAAAGCCGTGGCACATGAGTAACATTTTCTTAGCAATACAGTCAGTAAAGCCATCTACCGAGTTTTAAAGTAAATTTGTTGATGTTAAAACATCAATAATCGTAGATCTTAATCTAGTTTTGTGTTTAGTTGCCGTATACGTAAAATACTAAAATGTATACAAACTATGTAGTAGTAATATTTATGGTAGGAAATATATGCCCTACAAATTAAAATAATAGAATATTCACGTCGTAAATTTGTCAGTTTTCATTTTACGTAATTGTTTGGCTTTTCCTAATTTATTTAATTTATTAATAAAACCACAGAGAAAATCAAAAAACGAATAACTTAGTGAGTGTTTTACGTAATTTTTATTTGGTAGGTACTCTGTGAACAAAATTGTTAGACTAAACACAAATACTTGAAAATTTAACTGGAAGTTTCTTAAATGTCTTACTTTGTGGTCAAAATAAAAAAAAAGACGTGCTAGGATAATGAAGACGGGTGCAGCCACTATTATAGGTAATTAAATATATATTCGTAAACAACGATCAATCATTGCTAACGAAAAAAACGATTCTGAGCGCAGTTCAGTTTATAGTGATTCTTTGTCAACAATATATCTATATGTCATATTATGGTAAAATAATTAAATAGGCATTATATATTTTCTTTAATAATATTTGTTTATTATTGTATCGATTTTCCTGTTTTTCCTGCGTTTTTCTCGATTTTCTCATATTTTTTCCCGTATTATCACATATTGAAAAGTGACTTCCCAAAGTACCTTCCCATTCAGATTTACTTTTAGAAAAATTACTATCCTTATAAATCGGAGCGAAATTGGTGGTAGAAAAGTTGTACACAGATAAAAAAAAGACCATAATATTTTTTTTACTAATACCTACATTTTGTACACTTTCCAATTTCCGACATTTTATCCTGGTTTTTCCCAGTTTTTATGAAAACCGATTGAAAAATCACAAAAATGACTTCCTTAAATCATGAAGACAAAATTTTCTTTCAAAAAAAAAGTTGCACTTAATACATGGGCGCAAGATTTCTGGTAGAAAAGTTTGCACAATAAATCTAGGGGTATTTTTCGATTTAAAACGGTCTGAGCGAGCGATAGTTTGGTCCCTAGGTACACTTAAAATGCATTTGTTTTTTCCATAAATATGTAATATCTGCTAAACATTTGAACTTCAAAAAGCTATAATTTCGAAACTTAGTCAGTCCGCTCAATTCTGACTTCACCATCCTTTTTAAATTGGCAATATACATATGTTCGAAAAAAAAAAATTGAAAAATTATATTTGTTCCGCATAATTTTTTACTTTTTTAATTTTTAACAATTTTCGTCAAAATGTAATATTAAAATTCCTTTATAAAAAGAAATACTACATTAAACTATTTTTTTTTTTTTAGCACAAAGGAAGACTTAATGAACCTTCTGTTAAATTTTTAAGCATTTCTGTTAAGTCTAACAATTTTACCACAGACCGAATTGTACCTACCGAATAAAAATTACGTATAAAACTCGAAAAATTAAAATATCTATAATTAGCTCGAATTTTATGAAAATTTGCACATGCATATTCGCTTACATTTTATATTACAATATTTAATTTAAAAATTGTTATTATATAAATACGTGGTTTAATATCCGTGTACTATAGTCTTAAATACTCGTCTATCAATGTATCAGTGTATTTTAAATGCCCGTGGGAAACCGTAAACCTAATTTGAATTGGTTGGTGGATGAGTAAGACAAGACAAATAAAAAAAAGTTTTTATTATTGTGTAATGATTTCACTGTAGTAAGACTTGTAAAATAATCAAGTATTATAAAATTATATAAAGAGTTAATAAATAAAGACATTTTAATTCGCTATAATATACGTATATTATTATTTACACTGTATAGATATAGTTACGTTTTGATAAGTGTATACTAATAATTGAATTTATTCAAATAAAATGAACGGGGTCGGTGGCATATAAATATCTTGGCACCTTAAGTAAATATAGTTCTACACGACACTGGATTTATTATTAAAAGGCAAATCCACGTAACGATTTCCAAATTCTGCGATTACAGTTTCTTTCATTTTTAAAATTGTAGTTTTAAATTCACTGGAGTATAACTGACTTTTACATTTCCCAACGTATAATACGTGTATGGGAACTCCAATAAAATATTCTTACACTACATTTTAAATTTTAAATTGATTGGAATCAACTATAATAATATCATGAAATTAAAATCGGGTTCTTACATAGATCCGGCTGCCACTTTCATGTTAAACCCGTTGAGTATCATATTGTTCGTTTCATAACTCTTGTACACATTTGTCACTTGAACGTCATAATTCACAATATTATTAAGTTGTTCGACGAACATTATAGTTTTGAAAATTTAAATTTGTCTACTGATTAATATTGTATTTAACGATTGAAGATTAAAATAAATGAGAATTTGTTTAACGCGTTAAAGAATAAACATTCGATGATACTGGACGAATAGGTACTTACATTATTGTGAATACGATTTTCTTTTAAACAATTATAATATTTGATTTTATAATGTATTTAAACTAGATTGCCTTGATACTTTTTATTTCACGATATAAAATGATTGTTATTTTATAATTAATGTAAGAATTCCGTATAATGAACAATAATCTGAACCATAAAAAGTTACTCTTAATTTTGTATTAATTTAATGAACGTACGCACTATAATTAGATTTAGCTACGATAGTGCTAATGTTATGCTCACATGACATTATATTATAACTGTATAATTATTTATTATTTATATCAGTACAAAAATGTAATTAAAAGATTCAAATATGGCCGAGTGCTTGGTATTTTGCAAAAGGTAAATAATTTAATAAATCTAACGGATCGTTCGCTATTTGAGAGGGATACAAGCTAAAATAATTTAAATATGTGTCAAATATAATAGAACTGCATGCCATCTGCTGCGGCCCTTTGAGGACACTGCCGCCTCAGTCATACTATTGTATATTGTCTTATTTTCATAATTCGATTATTAATTATTTTATATCGACATTGACGCGATTTCCATCTATTCCGTCTTTTTAAGCATACAAATTCCAGTGGTTTTCTATCATTCGAGAAGAATCAATATCCAATCCATTACCTTCATTTAGAACATTTAAACACATACAATTTAACGGTTTCTTCTAATTGAAAATGAAGCGCCTTGATCCCTCGAGAATCCCCAAGACGAACACTCTGTCGAGAATCCTGCACTCAGCAACAACTACGCTCCATCAACTTCTTTCGCAACCTTTTATTTTCCTAATTTAAAAATTAGCATTTTTTATCCGAGTGCACACAGGTGTTAAGTATTAATTAATTAAATTAGTTTATCTTAAATAAATTGTGATTGCCATCCAACGACTCCAAGTTCACGTGAGGTTATCCATAAGTATATACCCTAGCGTTCCAACAACGTGGGCTGGTAATATAATTATATTTTTCTTTAGTTATTGATATCGTCACCATTATCGGATTCACGACTCAGAACCCCTTTCAAACATAGGAAGGAAGGTAGTAATATAACTAGTAGGCTGAACTTTTATTATGATTAAAGATAAATCATTCTTTGTAGTACCAAAACCTAGATCGATTATTTCACACTATATAGGCACATTTTTTTAATTACTCCTCTATATTTTATTCTTTGTAGGTATTTCTACGTAATTATTCTATAATTTCAAATATATTTGTCTTCTATCACTAAACTTAGTGTCCTAAGTCTACTACTATCCCTCTAACCATGACTCTCTTTATTTTTTCCCCCGTTAAAGCTTCTTTTAACACCTCTTATTTGTCCCTCTTTTTATTTTTCCTTTTTGTTGTATTACTACAATAGGTTATATCAAGTTATAAATATTATTATTATTATTTGTTTTTTTCATATTTATTAGTTCCATGTGAATATTTTTATAGATATTTTTTTTTTTTTTTGTGAGTGGTGTACACAGATTAATATTTAAATATCTTAATGGCGATATATGATAATATTATTACTATAATCTAAATTTAGAGATATCTACTATGGCTTGACAACGGTCTGGTAATTTTTTGGTAATAGGTGTGTTACACTGGCATCCGCATTTCATTAAATTCACTTAAGACCTTTTCATATAGATTTCATTTTAACTGTACAAATTAGTAATCACAATTTCAAAATTTGTACACCATCTGAAACTTCAGAAAAATGCGTAACAGTTGTGGGATGCAGGTTTAATATTACTCCAGCACTTGCATTTCACAATAATTATCAAGATGACTTAATCCTATGCCAATAATTTTCATTTTAATTGTACAAATTATGAAAAACAGTAGACAAATTTGTACATCATCCGAACCCACACAAAAATATAAAATGGGTTTTAAATAGTAAATGCACATCAACATATTATGTTCCTAAGTAAATATTTAAATAATCTGCAGTCTTTGGAAAAAGATATTTCTATAGTCTACTATCATATTCCTTCTACTGTTGAAGGGACAAATCTATACTACTAAGCTTCAATCATCAAACCTTATTTATGCAGTGAGATATGTTGCCGAAATTGGCAATGGTCGGTAATGACGTATTCTAAGCCTTCCACTCAGTGGCCTATTTATGAGGTTGGATTTGAGAAAAAATCCTTCTCCATGCTTTTTTTTTATACATGTCTGAGCGTACAACAGTATCACGGTTAAGTACCAACAATGCCAGTGTATATTTACACGAACCAATTCACCCAGTTCTTCTAACCCTCGTATCAATGCAGCTTGTGCTTAAAATGAGCTTTAAAAATTGAAACATATATTAGACACAATTATTTTAGGAGATTATACAAATTTGAACCCTTAATACTAAGCCTTTTCAAAAAGAGGAACATTTCTAATGTTAAATAATATTAGAAATCAAATTTTTAATATGAATGATCCTTCTTCTTTTCCTTCGCTTTCATCTCAACTATCTGGGGTCGGTTACCCTCGTTTTTAGCTTCCACTTGACAAGATATCTGGGTCTATTATACAACTATCATACATAGGCTGTCTTCATATCATCCTTAATCGCAATGTAACATACCCAGCTACCAATAATAATTATAAAATATTTTAATATATTATAATATTGTTTTATACGATCGTCACCGTCGCCAGCATTATTATTTTTATATTGTAATATAATATTATAGGTACGTCGAGGGGATGATCCAACGTCCTACCTTTTAACGCAATATTCGTCATTATGATGTCTAATCTGCATATTGGAAGAAATTCGGTTACCATTTGTAACAACGGTGGCTTTTCAATCGAATAAATGGAATTTAAATATAAAAACCGAAAAAAAACCAAATAAAAATCTGCAAGGGTGATCAATATGTCGTAAGACACTCATTATCTCGGGAAGTATTAATTTTTTTCAAATAGAAGTTTACAAATTACAAATTATTCTTTTATATTTTTTTTATCATTTCATACAACCACAATTAGATGAATACGAACAAATGATAATAAATCATAAGTAAATAAGTAAAATAAATATATAAAACTCAGAGTCTATATAGATATAAATAATAATAAAATACAATAAAATCCATAAATTGGTTAATAAATATAATTAGAGATATAAATAGAATTTGGAATGGATATAACTTTATGGTAACATAGTTGTCAGAGTTCGTATAATTGTTTTAGTTTTAGATTACCCTTGACCAAAATCTTGCTACTTCGATGGAATTTGGATTTGTAGACAGGTCTTCTTTCGAACAGGAAGATGGGCAGCTTTGGCAGTTCAGTAGGTGTTTCATGTTTTGATCCATAACACACTCTCATTTTGTGGAGATGTCTTGAAGGATGCCCCATCTTTTATATTGAACTAACTATTTATTGCAATAATTATTATTACCAGTGAAGTACCTATGTATGAGTATTTCTGTGCCCTGGTCACTTTTATGTATTTGAAAACTATAGTTATTTAATATTTATTACGGTAAAAATGAAAGAATTTTTACGATTGTTGTATGATTTGTGTGGTGTGTGTTAGTTTAAGGATTATGCGTTAAACTAAAAAAAATCGAATACGTAATTTTATATCCATGTCACCAAAGTAAACTATATAGGTAGTATACATTTTATGAATCAAAAAAAAAAAATATCATTCCAAAAAAATTAAAAACCCTGTGCCAGTCATGTAGGATGCTACAAGGGTTAAATTTAGAGATAACAGTAAGCAGTGTTGTGGGCATCTTTTCAAATTTAATTTAATAAAAATTGAAAATCAATCATTCAAATAGGTGATGGTCTGAATACTGAATAAATATTCCACCGTTCATACCAAAGGTAAAATTACTGCTTTTACTGCCTTTGTGTTATTCGAACAACCGCTTGTATGATACAACGTATTTTTATATAGAAAACTATTTTAGTTTTTAACAGGATATCTGTAATTACGAATATATTAATCATGATTGTCAATATATGGGTAATTAAAATGTAAATAAATGGAAAATCATTGTACGAATAGTAATACTTTATTAACTATATTTGTCCAAGTTCATGTACACTTGCGAATTGTAATTCTGACTGTTTTTATGTGTTTTTTTAAACGCTTTGTTATAGTTTTCCGGAAAATTAATAAAAGCTATGTACTTGGAGTTATTTGTAATAATCATTTCGCCAGTGTTACGGTCCGTCACTTTTAGTCAGATTTCCGTTTAGAAAATGTGCTATCATTGTAAATCGGAGCCAAATTGCTGGTAGAAAAGTTGTTCACAGGATTAAAAAAAGCCATAATATTTTTTGATGCTATTCGGATGCTATTATGCACAACATGGTCGTATCTTTTTGTCAGTCACATTATTCAGTAGGCACCTGATGTCATTAAGTATTTAGCATGACATTTCAATTTGTATTATTGATAATATTGGTATTGCGTATTGACGTTTTGCGTAGACCCGATTTAGAATTCATTTTTTGTGATCATACCATTTTTATGTCATGCGTTTGACAATTAGTACTTCTATCGATACTGATTGTTTATTGTATGATAATATAAATGAAATTATTAACATATAACGATCACGCACCAATAAAGAGTAGTAACGATTCTTGTTCGGTCAATATGAGTGCGGTTAACTACACGTTAATTGCATAAGGGTATGCATTTTAGGGTTTGCAGAAGGCTGCCATTAGTGCCTCTGAATGTTATTTTAAGCTCGTAAAACTCTGATAAAAATATAAACATAAATATTGAAGTGTCTTATCGTTTAATTAAAAATGTAATTTTTACTTAAAATTCAAATTGAATTACAACATAGAATGTACATATTTTTTAAATATTTGATTTAACTCATAATATGGTTTTTGAGGCCCTCGGGGACATAGCTCCTTACTCCCCTCCTTAATCCTTGCCTCGGGGTATGCAGCTGGATACCCTGCATATCCCCTGCGTATGCTTATGGTTAATTTGCTCGAGATACAAACACTTGATACCTACAAACATTTATTTAAAAGTCAATGAAGAAAGGTTATTAATCATCAACTTCTTATCTTTATAGTAGAATAAAAATTAATTTAAAAATTACTGGAAAAAGAGGGAAGGTGGAAGGGAGAGAGGGAAAAAGAAAGAGAGAAGGAAAGGAGGGAGTAGAGTAGAGTATGGGAAAGAGTATGGATGGGTAAGGGGTTATACGGGAGTGATAGGTGTAGGTATATTTATATTCGTATATATGACGCATGACGCGAACGCCCGGCGATCTGGATGATTGACGGCAGTGTAGCCACAACGCGCAATCGGTCGGATAAGACCTTGAATAGTCTCGTAGCGTAATATGTTGACAAAATTGGTTTAGTGTGTGTGTAAATGGTTCTTTGTGTGTGTATAAATGGTTCTTTGTGTGTGTGTGCTCGCGCGGTCGTTTAGATTGTATTGTAATATATGTACGAATACCTATATTGTGTCGATAAAAACACGTACTCATTATATTTATTGACGGTGGTTATTGCCTATCGTAAGAAAGTATACTTCTCTTCTGCCTATTTTACTCTTATTAATATTCTACTACGAAAATATGTAAAGATAACATTTACCTTATATTTGCTGCTTGAAGTTCGCAAGAAGTTCGCAAGAAGTTCGTTGCTTAAGATATAAGGGATATAGGTATCGATGAATCGTTACAATGTATACACCTCGTTGAGAATTCAATAGACGTGTGAATACTCTTTTGCCTTCGGCTCATAACGCGGCAACCAGGTTTATAGACAATGCTACTGTAGCGAGAATTGTATATTCTCCATCGCCCTTTCTAAGCATATAGACAACTGTTTTACAATGGTGAACGAGTTAGATGTCGACACTACGACCACGTCCGTTCTATATTCGCAACTGATTAACCAGATGTGTATAGACATGTACACAGGGGAATATTATATATATTTTTTGAAGAAGTAAACACAATCTATTATAAAACAATAGTGACAACAAGCACAATTACCAGGTATGCCATATAGGATAGGGAGAACCAAATACAGCAGCCCGCTTTCGGTATCTGCAACTACTGTATAGGTGCGGAAAACAAAGGTATGGTTGGAGTGAGTGAGCAAAGATGTCTACTTCTGCTGGACGAACCCAGAGAAGTGGTTTAAGTAATGATGTGTATGGCGTATTTAAGCATTTCGCGGTCTCCCACACCGACGACTCTCACTTCGTCACGGTAGCTACGTTGGCGCCTCTATGTGAGCGACGCGCGTAATTAATATTTTGAATTAATATGTGCCGTATTAAGGTGGCAACATTGTTTAAGAGATGTTTGGAATTGGTAATTGTGCTGTGTAACCTTGATCGTTTATTATACAAGTATTAAATATTCAATAAATTAATATAATATTAAGTAATTTATATATATTATTATTTATTTCTAATATAGATATATTAATATATGATTTAAAACGATCTATATAACTAATCTAGTTATTTACCGCAGATAACTGGTTTACCGTTTATCTGAATAAAATAAAAATACACCATACACATAATACAGTTAGTTTTTCAATTGAGATAAAACATAATACTGTTTACGACGCTCAATAATGGAATATAAACTAATATGAGGTACGTATATAAATGTTATTGTGATTATGATAGGCTCATCGAACACTCCACTTATCGTTAACATTACAAGGAGGAAATGTCAGTATTTTTTCACTGAACACACATAAAATTTAACAGACAGTGTTTTTATCTTCGACCGACTTTCTTTTTATTTTTGCAAGATCCACATGTTTTTTTTTAATTTTCCTAGACCGATTATAACCAATACTAAAATAACGTTGTATAAAAACATTACTACAATATTTTTTATAACCGACGGATGTTCCAACGTCCAACCCTTCAACGCGATATTAGTCATTACGTTGCCCGCTAAGCGCATCGGAAGTAACTCGGTGACCATTCGTAATAAAGGTGTCTGCGATTCTACTGGCCAAACAGCGCCTAAATATAAAAAACAAAAAAAAAATTAAATTAAATCTGCCATACGTATTCCAAAAGAACGATAGCTAGAATCGTGAATATTATTGTTAAAACAGTAAATAAAATAAAGGTGATAAGTAGGAAAAATCTTAGATTATGTACAATGGATAGAGTTATATGCAATATAATGTTTCGCCAACCTATAAGAGCACATCTTACTTTTGCGTATGAGTGAAGTACTTTTATCAGTCTTATCATAATCTACTTAATAAAATATTATAGAATTTTGAAATATCTCTATGTAAAATATACATCTGATATCCGAATATCCAATAGCTATAAATTATTATGGTATTATGGAGAGGGTCACGCATGCGCAGTAGCTACATATCCTCTTGATGTGTTAGCGACATATTCGTTTCACATGAGGTACAGCCGTAACTCTACACATTGTATATGATCTAAGGTTTGTTCACAGTCGTATGATAAATTATCTGCAGCTATAGGTACCTATTTTACATTTAAGATTAAAACAGTGGGAAAACAGAATTTTATTTCAATTTTCATAGTAAATAAGCTAGACTACGACTAATAGTCATATAGTCTTCTAGTGAATGAAAAGCGAATTAAAGCAGTAATTTTTTTTTACTTCTAATATCGAAGTAGTGACGTTATTTTCAAAATTTAAAAAAATATCATGGTCAGATAGCATGTTAAACCAATACAGTAAGAACGGCATTTGAATACCAGCATTTAGTATAATACATTTTTAGTAAAACTTAAGTAGTTAAGTATAATAAAATTAGTACACTCACCCTAAATTAATGGGTGTAAGAGAAATATAAACATAATACAAATACAATAAAAGATATAAAAATAAACAAATTTGTTGGAGTTTAATCAATAAAATTCCTTGTAGTGCAACATGAGTAACTCTAAATAAACTGGGACGCATTTGGAATACGTTTCAAAAATAACATTTTTTATTAGGACGCACTCGGATAACCTCGAAAAAAATAATTTCAAACCACATAAATCCGTAAATTAATTATATAGAAGAACCTAGATTATTAGGGGTAATAGCGGGGATTTGCCACGAGGAAAAATGAAAACCAGGGTTAATCGAAACTTTATTTAACGAATTACAATGTTATCTTAGATGTATGCGTGTGCACATTATGATGTTATAAAGTCATCAGGGCTTGAAATAGAAAGCGAACGGTCTTTGTTTCTTGTGGTTTAAAAAAAAATAATTTTTAATAATTTATTTTTGTACTTTTACTATGTTCATCGGACCCTCTTATTATTGAGTGTATGAATTATGGTTGGCTATTATTGTGTATACAAGTCGATATAAACTTAAAAACCACACAAAACAGTAGGAATTGTGTTTCACAGATTTTGAAATCTGGTTAAGATTATATAAATTCTTTACTAAGTCATGTCTCATGTTAGAAATAGAAATTTAATTATTATACCAAGACAAAATTACGAGAAACTAAGAATAGGAAAATGTGATGTGTTAGGGAGCGCGCGCAGCAGAGCTCTTAGTAGACGGTGACTAATGTACGTCACTGTGACTACAGATCGCGCCACCTTAGTGTTACCGTTTACGAATCAGTAAGCAAGCATGCTTCGCTTATAGCACGTGAACCCGGTTAATGCCCCACGTACAAATCTAAGTATGGCCTGCCGACTTATTCCATTTTTCCCATTTTATCCACTGTATGGACTGTAAATGCTGGGGCATTCGTGGTATTGGATATAAAACACCATTGGCCATGTATCATTTGTAGTTTACTATAGGTACCTAACTATTCATTATAAAACTGATTACGGGGTTGTTCACCTTCAATCCTTCAGTTGGTGAATGGGAAAAAATGGTGAGTAATAGCAGTAAAAATATCAGTCGAAAGTATTCACACCAATAGCAGTCGAAGCTGTCAAAATAATAGTCTCAAGGAATAAATTGAAGAAGGTGTGTTACACATTTTATTAATCCGTTATGACTGCATTCTTCTCTATAAACTTATGTTAATAATATTCATGATTATTCTGAATTTAATTATATAAATTTATATAAAACAATGCTTGTTTTATTGTATAATTTTATTACTTTATTATTTTATCTGCTTATCATTATTTTATTTTGGTTATGTTGTTCACAAAATATCTGTAACTCAGTTGACTAAAGACAAAGAAATATGATTTAAAATATTGTAATCCCATTGAATTTTTTGTATTTGGGGAATTATTATCTCCCAAAAAGAAATCAAAATTATCGTACAGCCCTCCCCCTTGTGCCCTCCCCCTAAATCGAGACCATTACACATTGCGAATCGTAAATATATCATTGTATTTTTGAGCAATATTTAAAACTAAAGGATTTTGTCTTTTACTAGCAATAAAGAGAATTCAAAATTGAAAATAAAAATTTCAACGTATCCTAAAAAGAATTAAATATTATAATACACTTTTAATATTGGAATTCGTAAAATGTAATTCCAATAGATTTTTGTCATGACTTATCGATACAAAACGTTCTATTTGTCTATAAAAGCGGCCGTAACCATTCCCTTTAAATGGTATTGAAGTGGAAAACGATTTACCACATTATTTAACATTCCGAAATGTCTATTTTCGCGTAGTACACCATATTATACTTATTCCCAAATCAAACGTCTTCGTAAAATTAATAATTATAACAATATAATAATATTATTTACCCGATAGTAAAGCTTGCGAAAAGGAAAATCCGTTTATAATGCTAATGCCTATTAACTTGGTTGGCGACACACAGGCGACGAGTAAACCTGCAATAAAAGTAAATACAAAACTATATAATATTCTATAGGTAAATTCTATAAATATATCTTATAAATAAATCATTTTTCGAACACTAAAACGAAAAATAGCGAAATAGGCTGATACGCGTATAAGGTTGACGGTATTGAAATACGTGTAACGGCAATGCGATATTAGAATAGGTATCGGTATGGAACGGTGTACCGTTATATGGGTTAATATCGGAAAACCGAAATACCGATACAAGCTGGAAAACCGTTCGTTGATATTATAATTTATAATAAATCAGTATCTCACTGAAAAAGTGACAACACTGATAACGGTGTAAATCGATACAAAATGTTTTATTTCATGGAGGTAGTAGATTCAATTTGTTTAACGCGAATATATACGATTTACCTTTCAAACGGTATTTGAATAATAACTGGTATACCGTAAAAAACATTTACTCTATGTACTTGCAGTTTCATAGACTTTTTATGTTTTTTGGAAATGAAATTATTTTATAAAGTTCCACATTCAAATGGTTACAATCATAATTTTAAAAGTATTGACATTTTTTTTTTTTTTGAAAATTTAAACAGTTCTAAAATATTATACTACAATTGTTTACTCTAATTTTTGTGTGTGTGAAACGAGGAAGTCATCTGTTTTTGATTTTTAAATGGCGACCCATATTATAACTTCCATAAATAACTAGTGTATTAAGATAACATCATTTTAATGTTGAAATTTAAAAGTAGAGTAAAACATCAACAGGTTGACTGAAATTTAACATTTCAACACTAAAATGTATTGAAACTAAAACTCAATCTATAAATAGAATGTTTATTATAGGTTGCCATTTATAAAGCACAAATAGATAGTCGTTTTATCCTTAAAAAAAATAAGGGTGACCAAAAATAATTGTCAAAAATACAGTTATTGAAATTAAATAATTTTGAAATAATTAAACAATAAAAGAATCACTCTGTATAGCTGAAATCATAAAATAACAATGATTACTCTGTGCAACGGACAATATTTTTTAATATTATTACATAATACACATTCACTTAAACTGCAACAGAACAGTTTTTGGAATTTTACGGGTTGATGAAAAATATTTTAGATGAAAACTCTTGCATTTTAAGGAAATAACTACATTTATCGCAACTCCGTTTTCATGTGTTATGGGCTGATATATCAGGATTTGATAGAAGTAATGATTTCATTTTCACGTGATTGACAATGTTACCACGAATCAAAAAAAAATAAAAATAATAATAATGGAAAAAAAAACGTTTGTTTTAGCACTTGATTTATAAATAATGAGTTTATTTTTATCAAAGATACGTGCTGTTGCAGTTTAAGGAACGATCCATCGGTATGTACCGTAAAAAAAACCGGTCCATCCAGCGAATATCATTAAAACTTCGTACGCTACTAGACCGTCGGTCACTTGTATCGGATTCTGGTACCATACGTATGCGATGATTACGGGAGGAATCATTTGGATAATAATTATTATGCTGGCTAGGGCAAATAGAGAAATCACTAATTCCACTATTTTGACACCTAAAACGAGAATATAATAATGTTATTATAACATTATATACAGTGGTTATTGTTAATTATTAAAACAGAATAATTATAATTTGTATAGATACTCAAACACCTGCAAACATTGATCGCATGAGGATTCCGTCCATTCTCTCCGTGAGCATCATGCTCAATGAAAATACACAAGGAAAGTAGAATGCTCCCCTAAAAAAAAAAATCCAATCGGGATATTAAAAATATTATTTGAAATAAATTTTATGAGTAGGAATCGCAAATATAAATTATATTTTGTATTTCGGTATTTTGTATTAACGCAAATAGTTTCTATGCTTAGGTACATTTATCCGTACGATGTTAAAGTTTTTGATGACGAGTATGTTAATCATTAGATTTTAACATTTAGGTTAATTATATTATTAAATTAATAATAAAATTAATGAATATATTATGCGAACAAGAATTTTACTTACATAACTACGAAAACCGCAGCTATTGAGTTTATATACGTTGTTACATCCTTTCCGACTGTAACAGTGAAATCCTGGAAAAAAAAAGAAAGAAACCTTATTGTTTTGTGAGCGATAAATTATTACATTAAACAGGACAAACTAGACAATTTTAAATTAAGTATTAATAATTTCACTATCACTATAATAATATACGAGTACTATGTATCGTACTATAGTATTTGGTTGTTATGATTTTGTATACGTAATAATTTACTATCGATAACGGTTAATAAAACAATCGTGAGCAGCATAGTTACGTCAAAATTCCGTCATATACCTCACCATCTCCGCCTACAAAACATCGATCATAAAACTCAAATAATCGAATACTTTAATAGTTATTACGAAATACTATAATTATAGGTCTACACTACACTCTTTATCTAAAATACTGCATGTTGGGAACGGATTGCATTTTTCTTTAAAGCCTCGCGCGCCTCAGCGCAAAATCGAACCCGCCGTCTCCACAAAGCTTCCTGCCAGCACTGTGGCCGCCCCGGCGGTAACCGGATTCTCGGCCACGACCGACCGCTGCCGACGTGTCCGTTTCGGGCTCTCGTGCTTGTGTCGTTTCATTGTCGCTGCCGACGTGCCTGTTTCGATGATTTTTTTTTCATTTTACCGATGCCGACGCCCGTCGCGCCCATCCGTTAATACGGCCGCAACACACAATCGTCGTTAAAGGCCGTCATGTCGCGTGCTAAATTCCTTTCTGTCGTCCGCCCCGTTCACTGTGCTGTGCGTGAACGTTGAACAGGCTATCCATGCCTTCGTCCCGGCAACACATTTTACTCTGTTGCTCCTTGTTGCTTTTACGTCGCGTTCATGTTTGTGACGTCACCGACCACGTGTCTGCGTATGCCCACTGTCCGGCGCAACTAGCTCATTTGATAGACAATGCAGCGTGATAATGTGATATATCTCACTATTTTGAAATTTTTACATTTACTCGAAGAAAAAAACTAATTGAATTGACCCGGTTACCTTATATGACGTTTTAACTATAATTACTAATTATAATCTAACCAATCGTTATAAAAAAAAAAAAAAAATCCTAAATACTGAGTAAATAATTCATCGTTCGTACCAAGGGTAGAGCGAGCGCTTTCACTGCTTTTGCGTTATGCGAACAGCCACTCAAAATGTTCTCCGTTATACGGTCCATAGTATTTTTCATATCAAAAACGATTTTATATTTAAACAGGACATCTGCAAGTATATTATACGGAATGCATGATTATTTATTGCTTAGAGATACTTACATTTGGTAGAACAAGGAATATCGTGGTATGAACAGTAATAATTTACTAACTATACATGGCAAAGTTCACATAAGCCTGCGATTGGTAATCGTAATTATCACGGTCATTTATGAATTTTGTAAACGATCTCGTATAGTTTTCTGGAAAATGAATGAACGCTATATACTTGGAGCTATTGCTCATTATCATTTCACCGGTTTTACGGTCCGCCACTTCGTTCTAAAAAAAAAAAAAAATCAGGTTTAAAAATAAAAAATATATTTTACTTGTGGTGACAAGTTGCATTCTTAAAAACGGTATTTCAGCATCGTTGTGCATGCCATGTCGTGTCGTGTCCACACGATCATTTACATATATTATGCTGAGCACATCGAAAAATCAACTGACCATTGTAATCCAAACTAGAAAAAAGACGGATACAGCTCGACTGTATAAACTTGCCGGCAAGTCTTGCTTACTGAATTTTACCATGCGATTACAACGGTCAATGCGAATACGACAAAGGTCACGTGATGTCGCTAAAACAACGTCTCAAATCTATCGCCAACTCACCAGTGTGTAACCGAGTGATTGTAGACGGTTCATAATGACGCCGCTGATTTTTTGATCGTTTTTCTNCATGGTGAACATTAACCTATACGTGTCGTATAGCACAATAATATCGAAATTATCCTTCGTTTCTAATCGTGAATACGTATAATTTATAAATAATAGATAAACACCTAATGAATACTTACACGTAGTCACGTGAAAATGAATGAAGGTATTTTTTCATCAGAGCCTTAACCCTAATGAATTTAAATTTGTTCTTTAATTTTGTTATATTTTTCGGTTGTGGTATTGTATTGTCGTTGTTTACCCGAACAGTGCCGTTATGGACGATCTATAAGTTATTAAAACAGATAAAATATTACGATCATATCAGTTTAGGATTGTACAACCAACTATGTATTGTATACGTACATGGTTTTCATTTTGACTACAGCATAGTTTTAGAAAAGCCGATTCTAACGTATCTGTATTATATTTAGCGAGGATAAATTGAGGCGATCCTTCTTCTACCAGTACCCCGTTTCTCATTAAACCGATCTGTAATAGTATATATTATAATGTAAAAAATTAATTTAATTACTTGAATATATATTTATAAGGTTTCATTTAGTCGATGTTGATTTTTTTTTTATAATTATGTATACATACATACATACTTTGAATATTTTATCTATTACATATTACAATCCATATTAGTCCATTATATATAATTTAATCGATTTTAACAGACATTTCGACGTTCGTCTTATGAAAAATTCGTATTTATTCGAAGGGAATTTATGGAAACAAAAAATAAAGACAAATGATCTGTTACTGGGGACGGGTGCAGCCACTATTTTATGAAGGAAGTTGGGAAGGTAGGATACATAAAGTCTATTAATTAATGTTTATAAGCAAAGATAAGCCATTACTAACGAATATCGAATCGAAGTGAAGTTTGATAAGAAACAAATTGAAATGCTGTAATTATTAAGATGTTCGTCAAATTTGAATCTCAAAACGCCTTTGAAAAAAAAAACCTAATGCATCAAACTCAAATTTGTTTTGTAAATCACTAAATATTGTAACAAAACACGTGTGCTCCTTATGATCCTCGTGGTACCATTTCAGATTCATCCGGTTGTACAACCTCACCACTAGATGGCATTGGTAGCAAACAAACTAATCATTATGCAAAAAAAATCAGGATTTATATTTTTCAATTTATGTTGTAAACCATGTAAAATTAAAATATCTGTATATATTTATTTGTTATATGAATGGTTTATATATATATATATATTGTTCCGGACATTATTTTTCACCCACCCTATGTATACTCCTATAACACCCGTTATATTGCTATTATTCGTTTTTAATAAAACCCAAATTTAAATTTTGCATTACTATAAGTACCCAAATTGTAAAATATTTGAAAATTGTATGTAAAATAAAAAAAGATTGTTTTATCAAAATTTACATTTTGTTCATTCCTGCAAACACAAATAGCGATCTTTCTCAGTATCGTGTGATAAATTTTCAAGTATTTTTAAAAAGTCATATAATTTTAATAATATATACCTGTAACCACGTAAAAATATTTATTAAAATACAAAATATCAAATACCTATAAATAGCCTAAAAACAGTTAACATTTTTTGAACATTTTACCATGTCTACAAAAAGCCAATATAAGTATTTTTTGAAAGCTATAGTTCCAACAATGATTTTTAATCGAATAACAACAAGAAAACCTAAATGCCGCACACTATATGCCGTATTTCCTACTTTTTTTTCGTAATTATTTGAGAAACTGTACGGAAAATCACACAACGACTTCCTTCCTCACAAACGAGATAACATTTTCTTTCAGAAAATAATTTATCTTTAAAATAATAATCTTTCAGTAATTAATATGGAATATGGACGGAGATTTCTGGTGGAAAAATAAAGTCTTAACGATTTTAAATAATGAAATGGTTGCGCCGTAATATGAAAAAATCGTATCTTGCGTCTTTTTTCAGTTTTCTCAATTATTATGAAAACTATTTTAGAAATCAATAATGATTTTCTCTGTCAATGGCTAATATCAAATCACTTGTCATTTTTCAATTGGAGCAATATATCCAGTAGGAAACATAGTTTGTATAAATTAAAAACAATGAAAACGGTAACTTCTTTTAATGGACCAACCGTTTCGAATTCAAAATATAATATTATTAAACAACCTAGTATTATGATATTATAGCTATCACTGCAGCACTTACGCGAAACAAAATAGATTTTATACTACGATATTATTACAATAAATCAGAAACCTGTAACTGTAATACGCCATCGTTTGTAAAATAGTTTATATGATAGACGAAATTAGAGTACGCCATTCCATCATATAACCACGTGAAATAGCAAATGTTTTTTTAGCAGGAATAACTTTACTCTGTGCTGTTAGCTTTAATATAAGAGTGAATTAACTGGTTATCAAACTTTCAGATAAGAACATTATTTGTATTACATCGTCGTTTTTTTCTTCGTAATTTAAAATTTTAAGCGAAACATAGCTGTGTGAAATATGAATGCTTATATCTCGTTTAAAAATTAATATAAAATATTACGATAGCAAATATATAGAAAATATAGAAAATACTCACGCAGTCGGCTTCATTTGCTTCTTCGATATAATGTGTTGTTATAATGATGGTCTTTTTTTGTTGTTTGACCATCTTCGAAAACTCCTTCCAAATTCTAATATTTAACATTGTTGGACATAATATAATATTACAAAACAGTTAAACNAACTTTATTGTTGAATAAATAGCAATTGAGAATTATGTCGATAATTCTCGTTTATCGTTTAGCCAAATTTAATTCTCTATCAGATCGTTTACAAAAATCAAAGTACGTATAGTAAACGTTCAAATTTTAAATCCGAGTATTGATCAGAATTTATGATTATTATTGTTTGTTTATAAAATTCAAATAGATTGTACCTTAAATCGCTTATGAAACTATTCAAATCCGGTAATTTCAGAAATTGCGTAAGTTCGTCTATTCTTTTCGCAATATGTGTCTTGCTCATTGTATAAAGTGTTCCATAGTACTCAATAGTTTCCTTAATCGTCAAATTAGTGTCCATACATATATCCTTAAAAAGTATATCGCAAAGATGTGACGATAGTTAAACAATATCGATTTATATTTTAAGTGTATACTTGTGGCATGTATCCAACGTCATTTAAACTTTTTGCGTCAAAATCGATATTTCCGGAGTCTAACGGCAATGTTCTCAAAATACACTGAAAAAGTGTCGATTTACCACAGCCGCTCGGTCCCAAAAGGCCATAGCTATTGGAAAAAAAAATTTCGATAAAAACATTTTGTAACTCTGCATTGATTAATTAGTTTGGTAGCAAGGCTCTCCATTAATACGAGTTAAAAATGTAATATAATTTGTGTTTTCATTAACTTTACTATTGACTTAACTTAATTCTTTTTGAATCAACGAATTAAATTTTAAATTAAAGAATTTTAGTTAATGTTTAGATTTGTTGATTGATTTTCATCTTTTACACACACATGAATGCACACCAATAGTATATGAGTGTTATTGTGTATACAAGGTTTGAATTAATAAAACAACTAATGTACTTTTAACTTCTAAGTATTAGTGTGTTATTATTTATAGCTTATTAGCTAAGTATAACCATTGTTATTTTATTTTAAGTAACGAAAACTTTCATAACTATATAAAAGACATGTATAGAAATACTGTATTTATAAACATTAAACAGTGAACACTATATTATAGTTTTAACTTTTAAGTTAGTAAATAATAAAGAAAATAATATGAGAAAAAACAATTAACTTTTTTTAAATTTATTAATAAGTTTAAAACAATTGTGTGTTAATCAGAGATATTGCTCAGTTAGTAAAACAACAAGAGACCTTTTTTTATTAAATTTTGAATCTAGACATTTACAAAGAAATTAGTTTTTTAATTTTCTCGATAATTTTTAAACATTTAAAAAAGTAAAATTAAATCTGACAAACTTACGGCGTTATGATTTCATTATATTTAATGAGTACATTTTATGTTTTCTACTAGGAATATCGCTCAAATTAAAAAAAAAAACCACAGGCTTTTTTTGCTAAATTTTTAATATTGTTGTTGAGTAACAAAATCATTTTTTGATTTTTCCTGTATCTCTTTTTATAATTGAGCATACAGAAAAAAACAGTATAAATAACGGGATAATTTAGGTAATGGCGTATCCAGTTTTTTTTTTTTTTTTTGGGGGAGGGGAGGTTGAAAAAAATAAAACAAATGAAATTATTTTGAAGTTTTTGTGCGTATTATAATCATATATTAAACATTTTATAACTATTTACAGCACTAATTATATAAAAGTTGAAATATTTATCTTTTTAAAAATTATAAATGTATATTAATTTTTCGTTTTGATGTTTTAGCAAGTTCATCTATAATATCATTGATATCCACGTTGATATCACGATGAATTTATTGTAGTAAGGCTAAACCATTTAAACGTATTTGTCCCGATGAATTTCTCAAATATGTTTTCAAACGACGGAGTGTTGAAAAAAATCGTTCTCCCATGGCAATAGACACTGGAAGTGTTACGAATATTTGAAGAAGTTTAGATATTACTGGATAAACATCTGGATTAGATTGGAAGTATACTTCAATAGCATTTTTGTTTTTGAGTTCGGGAGGGGTTAAATTTGATTATTTAATGTACCACAAATCTAATTCTCCGTTTAATACACGATCATTTAAATTTAAATAGTTGCATTCATCTATTACATCTTGATATGTTTCTACTAATTGTTTGAATTCAACTTTAATATCTTCAGATATTTTCATTTCTACCTTAGGTAAAATACAATCAAAATTTTCCAAAACAATCATGTGCGATTTAAATCTTTCGTTCAATTGGTCTGAACAATTATTTATAAAAGGTATGAATACTTAAAAAAATATTCTGAATCATCTAATTTAGGTTGACATGACAAACTAATAGTAATATCAAATTTTTCCCAGACAGTTATTACGGATAAAAATAATTGTTGAAACTATACATCACAATTTTCTCTAATATCATGAATGTTATTTTGAACATTAGCAGTTTCAATGCAGTTTTCAAGATTTACTATTTGAAGATCTCGGCCAAGTGGAAAACTTATGGAAAGTATTTTCACTAAAATTGATAAAGCTGTTTGAAATTTTAACTGTTTTATCGCAGCAAGATGACTTGCAGAACTAGATGTGTCAGAATTTGTCCAAAGTGTAATTTTTTCTAGTGCATGTAAAATGGCTTTTTGAAGTTCTTCAAATAATATAACTGCATCATGGCGATCGACCCATCGAGTTGCACATAGATTTTTTACTAGGGGGTTAGGGGTTACAACTCATAAGCCCCCTTGGATACGCCATTGAACTTAGGAACATATTACTTTTATTATTTTCAATTTTGTTTTTTTGTTGGAACTACGTTAAAAATAACTTAAAATTTTGACAGAAAACTTATACTTATTTTTTTTAGATGTGATAAAACACTTAAGCAATTTTTTTGTAAAGCTATTTATAAACATTTAAATTTTGCGATTTTTTTTTCGTAATTTTAATTTGATAGGTATTGAGTGAATATAATTATTTTAGTAAACAAAAATGCTTCAAAATATAACAGAAGGTTCATTATAAGTTGTAATTAATGGTGAAACGAAAAAAAGTATATTGTAATGCAGTATTTTTTTTTTTTTTAAATTGTTCTAAGATACGCTTTTGATGAAAATCGTAAATATTACGGCCTTACATAAAGTAATCTCAGTACCATCAATCAAATCTTGTACTCAAAAATTAGTCTAACGATTTTTATTTTATTTTTAACTATTTGTAATTTTAATTTCAATATATGTACACGTACACCACTCAAAACTGGGGAAAATCAAGTATAAAATGGCACTGGTTACACCAGTATCGCTATCGGTATATTTTGGTCCTACCGACTTCAGAATGGTACAAACAATTATTATTTTATTAATAAATATTTTTAATCCTAATTTTAACATTTGTACATTGTATGCCACTCATAACTTGATTTTCAAAATTACAGTACTCGTGTAACTGTTACACAAGTATACTACGATCAGTATGTTTTGGTTCTACTGACTCTATAATGATAAAGCTAGAAGAAAAAAAAAGATTTATAACAATCCTTTGTTAACAATATATATGTCATATTATGATAAAATAATTACATATCACATAATATATTTTCTTTAATAATAATTGTATAACGATTTGCCCATGTTTTTTCAAATTTATTATCAGAAAAAGTGTGTATAATTGAAATTAGAACAAAATTGCTAGTAGAAAACTTGTTCACAGAAAACAAAAAGCTGTTCAATTTTTTTACTATTACTTTCATTTTGTACATTTTCCCGGTTTTCAACATTTATTGGGAAAAATCGTGGAAAAATAAAAGATGACCTTTCTAAAGTATCACCCCAGTCAGATTTCCTTTCAGAAAAAGTGCTTTAAATTGAAAAAAAAAATACACTGTAAAACTAATACATTCCTCGTTCTATTCAGAATCAAAAATACAAAAAAAAAAAACACAAATTATTGTAAAACCAAGAGATCCTTCGCTCCGGTTTGAATTTTCGGTTTTTATAGTTTATCGTCAGATTTTTAAAATTATTAGGAAATTTTTCGGCAAATCGCAAGATTGTGCTTTGTTAATTCAATTTTTTTTTGTAAAAGAATGTACTTACTTTCACATGAAATTTATAATATAATAATTTACGTATTCCGTTTCAATTGAGGTTAAATTTAGTTAATTTTCGGATAAGAATATTAAAATTAAACAATCAAATAAAATAAAATAAAACAAATTAAACAATTTTTTTTTTCATCATTATTTCGAGAGATATTTTTGGTTTTCACAAAATGGCCTAGGGACCAATGTACCCTGAATACGGCCTTGTGTAAACTTAGAAAATTCCACCTCTTATATAATGTCACCCCAGACATAGGCCTGCGTTGCCTGTGCCTTCCGCTGGCCATGGGCACGCCGTAAATATTTTTCTACATTCGATTCGTCATTTTTTTCCCATCCAAAATTCTAAAAAATTGATATCTTGTTATTTTTTGTTTTAAACAAGTTTTCTGTTCAAAAATTTGTTTATAGATAAAACAAAATAAACACACATCTTAGTAAAATCAATAAATCCCTCACTCCGCTCCGACTATAAAAAATGTATACATCAAAACAAAAACGAAATCAATATTTCAGAAGTTGCGTTGACTTTCGTACGGAAATGATAACCGAAATTAATTATTATTATCACATCACGTTTAAAAAACACATATATTTATTAAGTTCATAGGGTATAAGCTACGAATAATTTGGATTTTTATAAGTGCACTTATGTGTCGATATACCTAATTAAATTCTTCGGTAATTATATTTTTGTTCTTGTGGAAAATACACTTAATCGATTTAAAAATAAAACAACAGATTTGTTTTTTTATCCAAGTATGCGGATTCTAATAAATATACATTTTTGTGCACTATGTTGATAGAGTATATTCTCAATTGTAAAATATGGTGCAGTTAAAATCAAGAATATACTCACATAGATCCGGATGCTACGTTCATGTTCAATTTATTGAGTACCATATTTTTCTTATCGTAACTTTTGCACGCGTTTTTCACTTTAACGTCATATTTAATCGCAGTATCATTACGTTCTCCAGCGATCATCTCGTATATTATGTATTCTATACAGGTATATAGTGTAAAAAAAAAATCATATATATATATATATATTCTTATAGAACTATAATTCAATATTGCTATCAAAAGACGGTTGTCGGATTCTATCGGTCGAAATGGTAAAATCAAGAACGTCACGGTATATTGTGTATTGAAAAATTATCGTCAGGACGCTCGACGAGAACTACAGTGACTACACAGACGGACGTAAAAAGCGACGCGTTGTTAAAGACGAATCCAACAAACCTTGATAGCCTTGTGCGCAGTATAACTCGGATCTCCCCGCATTATTATCATATTTCTAAACGGTATCCATATAGGTACTTTATAATAGTGTGGAAAAAAATACGTATCTATAGGCAGCTATTATATTTTATATTATGCATTTTCAAGTTCCACCGCCGCAGAATCCTATGGTCCGAAATAATTACTGCGCCGTGAGATCATTAACTATATGTATGCATACGAGTATACAGCATCCTGACACGGTATAACGCCGTGGCGATGGCCTTTAATATATAATTTTAAACGAACGAAACAATATTTAACGCGTATGCCGGGTATACCTATACTATTCTAATTTTTTATCAGTTGAGAAATTAAAATGATTGCTAAAAACCATTTAGGTTTTGAGCGTAACGATATAAATATGAATACCTGTTGATTTTACTATGCATGCGATTTAAGATTTTGAGTGGAATGAGGAATATATTGGTTTTACAATGGTGTTTATTTTAATTTTATTTTACTTTTTTTTAACTGTAAATATTTTTGTACCAAAAATCTGGCTTTGATTTTTGAGTGTAATATCTTTTGTGAAAGAAAATTTTGTTTATATTAATCATGTGTATTAGTAATTTTTTCGTGCAGTTTTCTTAATAATTGGAAAAACGAAAAAGTTTGCGGCTTTAACGGCTTCATTATTTTCGATTTAGTTTCCTTTTTTTTCAATTATAGGAATTATATAAGTAAATATAGTAATCCTAGAAATCTGGAACTTTAACGAAAACTTTATATTAGCATTTGTAGACTTGGTCAAATTTTTAAAACGCTATGGAGATTTTTGAGTTGTTTTTAGGCATTTGACGTTTTCTAATTTGTATAGTTTTTATTTTGTTTATATGGAAACAATAAATCATTTGACCAGATATACTTGAAAATTTAACACAAGGTTACGTTTTACTATGTGCATCGAAATAAAAAAGTTGATGTCAATTTAATGTAGTAGATTTTTTATGAACGGCATATATAAATATATTTAACCGAACTTTGCTTAGAATCGTATTTCGTTTTGATCCCCCTCCCCTATTACGGTGGTCTACCTGTAGTGAAAAGTATGTCCGACTTTTGATTTAATATTTGGGTTCGTTTAAACGACAAATATTCACTGTAGTCATCACGTTTATTATTTTATTTTTGGCCGAAATTATAACTTCAAATAGTTTGATTGTCGGAGGAGGAAATATATACGCATATTTCAATAAAATTATAATAATAATAGATCTTTGATAAGACGGAATATATTTTTAAATGCTTTACCGAGATTTGAATATACTCGTGCGAGTCGTAATATGTACGTATTATACACGCACAGCCCGTTATGATGTAATTCTTGCGTACCGGGAGAATGACTCAACGATGCATACTAAAGACCCGATCAAAATTTAATAAAACTCGCCAAGTCGACGACTGAAATACGCGCGGTCAAGGAAATAACGACTATTCGGTAACAACGAATAGACAATAGTATATTATAGTTGTTCTGATACATTACACTTTCGGCGATCCAATGGATAACAAGAGAATATTCTATAAATAAAACATGGGGAAATTGAATATAAGAACTGTATACCTACGTCGTCTATAGTACCCAGTTGGCAATCGAATATAGTTGTTTCGACGGCAGCGCCGCCAACACGAAGGTATGATAAAATAGGATTAGAATACGATGATTTGATTGCTGTACGCACCGTAGTGTTAGCTACAATAAACTTAGAAAGTCAATGACCCTAATCCGTGATCAGTGCACAGTAAATATTTCAGTGCGGATTTTACATTTGTCCTCCCCTCCCCCTCCTCGAAATATTGTAATACGGACTAATGGTATCCCGTTCGACACAACCATATAAATAAAACGAGTCTTAAAATAGTAATACATTTAATAGAGTTATTTATTGGTAATATTTAGAAGGAGCAAAACGAGTAATATCATAATTCGTTTTTTTTTTTTTTCTATTTGAAATTTTATTTGTGTTCATGTGTGTTCATTATTTGTGTTTTATTCGGTTGATAATATAATTTTCATCAAATATGTTCGACGTTCGTATTGTTAATAGCTACTTTTTTTTAAAAAAAACTTCGTTGAGTTGATTCAATTCAACTAAAATTGTTTCTGACTGTTCGATTAACATACTGTAGTATTATATAGGTTATACAAAAATAAAATTTCCAATATCATATCTTGTATGCGCGATACAAGGTTAAGTTTAACCACTGCAAAATACGTGCAATTATTGCGGACAACCGCAACTACAGTATAGTCCGTAGGTATCTATATATTATTTCAAATATGTGTAGTGTATACTGAAAATTGTAAATAATCATTTTAATTATAATCGATAATAATGTAAGTTAGTAGGTTGTTGGCATAATATAATATTTCGATACACGTATACTATGATATTGTGTTATTACTAAGAACATCTATAGGTACTCGAGATTGCGTATCATTAATTATTTAAATATTTCGCGCAGATCATTGTAATTGTTTGATTTTTTTTTTCACAAAAATACAAGGTCGACTCAAGAATACACGGCAATCCTACGTGCAATCGCGCTGTTAAACGTCGTGATATTTCGAGACATTACATTTATAATAATATTTTAAACTCGTATAAGTAGTTAATTTTAATATTTCATTGTATCTAAACACACCGACGGCAGGCGCATGTACAAGGGAGGAATTTTGGGGTTTAATCCCCCCCCTCTCTCTAGAAATGTCATGAATATTATTATGAAAGTAGATTTTTAATAGAGTCAAAAGTGGTTTCTGTCAATGCAGGAGATAAATACAATTTTGATTTTATTTTAATTTTATTACTAGATAGTAGGTATATAATATTGTTATTATNGTTTCTGTCAATGCAGGAGATAAATACAATTTTGATTTTATTTTTATTTTATTACTAGATAGTAGGTATATAATATTGTTATTATTATCATTCAATAACATAAATTATGTTATCATTTAGGCTGTATTCATTAAAACAATATTAAATGTAAAATTTAGTAACGAGTATCAAAAGGCTAAAAAGCTGTCCTAACATAATGGGGGCGATTGCAGCCACTGTAATAGGTAGTTCAATGTATATCTGTAAGCAAAGATATTAACCATTGTTCACGAAAATTGATTCTGAGTGGAATTCGGTTGATAGTATTGCTTTGTCAACAAAATATATGTCATATTAGAATAAAATAATTGCATAATATGCATTATATATTTTCTTGAATAATATTTGTTTAACATTGTGCCTATTTTCTCGGTTTCCTCGCGTTTTTTCAACCCCAGTCAGATTTCCTTCCAGAAAAAGTATTATCATCGGTGTTTTAAATCGGAACAAAATTTCTGGTAGAATAATTGTCAACAAAAAAAAAACAACGAGAATAATAAATATCCTTGTAAAACCAATACAATCCTCACTCTACTTAGAATCTAAAATTAATTTTATAAAATATTGACCTTTTTTAATGAAAAATATATAATCCTACAATTGAAAGTATCTAAATTTGTTTATTATAAGAGTACGAACTTGAACCTCCTCTAAATTATTTTTTTATAAACGCACCTGATCAAGGGCAATATATTAATTTAAGGTTTTTGATATTGATATAATATATAACTATACACGTGTAAAATATGCAATGATAACGAAGGTAGTATTTATTTTAGCAAATAATTCACAAATAAAAATATTCACTTGATTGGTGTTTTTTCCGTAATTTTCCGAAATGTAAATGATTTAATTTATGATAATTAAAAAGTTTGAATAACTAATCAGCTTGTTGCAGCTATAGTTGTAACTGCAACAAGCTGATTTATTTTTAACGTAATTAAAAAAGTTTTTATACAAATTATTACAGTTGAAAACAAAATTTGATTGGCATAGTTCACAGGTAGGCCATTATTGTTTTAGGTTGGTAGTATATGATACACATGATATGTTATAGTTTATATGTAGTGTAAATTGTATAATCATAGTTAACGAAAAGATGCTGATATACATATATATATAGTGTTAATGTATGTGCAGCTGTTTTAGAAGGGAAGTTGAAAAGGGAGGGTACAATATACAGTATATCCCATTGAGTTCGACGGATTTTTCTAGCACTGTTAATATTAAATTTTATTCGATTCTTTTTTCAATCGGTTTGCCTTATAGGAGAACATCGATTTGGGAAAACATTTTATTTTTATTTTTATATCCTAAACTCACACAAAAGAAAAATAACTTTTTATATATTCACTTTATAAAATTTTTAAAATAGTCATTTTGTAAAAAATGTAATTTGTCACACATTCATATCCGATGAATAATTTCTTAGTTATAGCCGTTTTAGTTTTATAAAATGAATAAATTAAAAGGTATTTTTTTAATGTTTTGGAGATGAAAATAAAAATTTAATTTTTGTCCAAATCGATGATCCCCTCGAAGACAAAAAAGAAAAGAAAAAGAATCGAATAAAATTTAATATTAACAGCGCTAGAAAAATCCGTCGAAGGCGGTGGAACACATTGTATAGAGTAGGTATTAAAATGTATACCTGTCTGTAACGATAAACCAATGATAATAAAAAACGATTCTAAACAGAGTATTATTGGTCATATTTTTCCTTGTTACCTGTTATAAAAAAAAATACTCAGGTTCCAAATGTATTTAGAAAATTACAGGGAAAATCAAAAAATCATTTTCTCCAATTTCGTTGCTATATTACGCACAAGGCAGACAGAGAAAATAAATTATGTGTAGATGTACTAGAGGTCGTATAAAATCAGGCAGTATCTATTGGTACGGCCGATTAAATGTTATTAAATAACCACAATGTTTTGAAACGAAGCAAATTAGGTATTCGATCTCCAGGCGATATTAAATTATTTATGGTCGTTACTTATATTATAATAATCTATTGCACGGCAATATTATGTTTGGCGAGTTGGCGAGAACATTTGATTACTAGAATATAGATCTAAACAAAATACAATATTTATATATTATATGTATATTACTATTATTGTACCTAGCATAATATACGTGAATAAAAAAAAGAATCTTAGAAGAATCTTCTATGACTGATTCCTCATTGAATTACTTATAATAAGTACATACCTAATATGAGATCGCATAGCAATTTTTTAGATTCGAAGCGTAGTCAGGAATCTATTGGTTTTACTATAATGTGTGTGTGTGTGTGTGTGTGTTTTTTTCTGTCTGTAAACAACTTTTTGAAAAGAAATCTTGCTCCGATGTATATAATATAGTATCTTTCCTGAAAGAAAGATTTTTTCTAGTTGCATTAGCTGAGAGGTAATTTTTTGATTTTCCAAGGGGTTCTCAAAATAATTACGAAAAACGTCGTGGCGTTACCGATTTCATTGTTTTAATTTTTGTAACTTATTTTTTCTACCAGAAATCTTGCTCTACTTCAAAAATAACAAGAGATCGATTTTGCCACACTTGTATAGAGTTTTGAAAGTAATAAACTTTTTCTAAATGCAATTCAAAAAAAATAATATTATAAATAATATACATATGTTTATCGGTGCCAATAATCTAACCATAGACGTTATCAAACGAATACGCCACATTATCATTTTATCGTGTACATCGGAGTTTGCGCGTGTCCCTAAAGAGGCATCCGCAATCGTGAATTCAGCGTTACACATTTTCGTACGACCCTTTAGTAAGTATATACTATACACACGACGAAACAAAACACAGATTAAAAATAATTATTTATTCTCTTGTGAAAACAATTAACAGTTTTTTTTATTTTTATTATTTTCAGTCTTAACTTTTTCACTCGACGAAAACCGACCGAAGATATTTGCTTATATTACGGTGCAATGTCAATTTGAATAAAGAATATAATATTTAAAGTAAATTCAATACTACAATATTCGAATGACACCAATAAACGAGTGTTTAGAATAAAAACAATTTTCAATATTTTTAACAGTGAAATAGTAGGTATATGGTAGGTCTATGTAGGTGCCATATGATATTAACAATTCATAACTTGTATTTCGTTTTCAGTTTAATTGTTTAATGTAAATTATTAAGATTATTAATTATAATATTTATTTGTCTATGTATATATCAACACTAATAAAAATAAGTTGAGAATAAGTAATAGCTAACAAAATTTTCGAATTATACATAGTAAATAACCAAAACAAATCTCAACATTAGACAAATTATTGAGTGCGAGATAAGCACGATCAAGAGGGGCTTCGTAACCGTAATTAGCAGCATGCCATTTAGTTATAAAAGTTTGTGGATATCTTGAATAAAATGATGGAACTGCTAAAGATAATTTAGAAAGTAAATCTGTTACATCAATATCATTATTTAATACTTTATGAATAAAGGTAACATCACACTCAACTCGTTTTTCAGTTAGAGATTTAAAATTGTAAGGGTTAACTTTTCACAACGAAACGAGCTCATCTTTAAGAATTTATTTTGTATTCTATTTAGCCGATTAGTATAGGATATTCGATGGAATGACCAACTAATAAGAAGCATATTTGAGCACCGAACGAATAAATGACATGTAAGTATAGTATGTTTAAAGCGTAAATATTAGAGAAACCAATTGTATTACGATTTATAAACCCAAGTGTCTTCAAGAAATTGTTACAAACATTATTGATATGGTCATTACATGATGGATTGGTAGATATTAATAACACCTAAATCTTGTATGGTATAGATGATATGTCGATTAAAAAAAAAAAAAAAAAACAATCTAATATGCTATGACTTAATATAAATTAAATGCGGCGATATGATACTAAAAGTAAATATTATACCTATTCATCATTTCTCCGGTATAATAATAATATTATTATTTTGTTATCTCCCCGCATATACCAGCAATTACTCCAAAAATATAGTATGACCAAAAAAAAAAAAAATTCGATTATAATATTACTGTAATTCGACTTTTCCGGTGTAGAAGGTCACTCTAATAATGTGTATTATATAAATCATCGGCATGTAATTATTATTGTTGCACTATTGTGTTTTTATGTCATATATTTTATTATTATCTTGTAATGCCAGTCGTATATTTATTACGTTTCAGAACTATTAATTCATGCCGTACGGGCCATCAATCATCAACTCAAAAATACCATAGCCAAAATAAAATTAAATAATTAAATAAATTAATACGTGTATTCGTATTGACATGTATAATATTTTACAAAATAAACGCGCAGTCCTTTCCGCAATAATATTTACTTTGTTTTGTTTTTGCTCCTTGGCTTCAGATTTTCGCCTTTTACACTAATATTTCAAATAGCGTGAAACTAAAAAAAACTATATTATTTAATAGGTATTGTTAAATTTGCATTATTTATAAACTGTTAATTTTACCATATTGCAGCCTTAATTCTGATAGAGAATACAATTATTTTAATTCAATGAATATAATAATAAGATAATATTATAACTATATTAATTAAACTTTACTTACCTATCAATACCTAGCTATATAATCTTTTCGATTATTTATCATTTACAATCTTTTTTCATCATTTTTCATGATCATGATGATTATACTGTGTGTTAAAGTTGGTATTTATTGAAAAAAATCTGTCTAGTCTAAAAACCATATATTAAACCGTTTATATTAAATATAAACCGTAATAAAATTCCCAATTTTATGAAAAATCTGTTTTGAATTTGTTTTGTTTCCCCATCTTCACCAAATTATTCTCCAACATCTCCAAACTATACCAGACCAGATGAAGATTAAAATAAATCTTTTTTTTACATTTGCCTTACTTTTTGTAATGGATCTAGGTATATAATTTTCGAAATGTGTTAAAAAAAGATTTAAATTACTTTTCATATTTTTTAATAGTTTATTTTTATAATATATATCTTTATATTATCACAAAACTGTGAAAATAAAGGTATATAATTGTATACAATTTTTATTATACATAAAATAAAAAAATTTAATATATATATAAATTTACCGTAATCTGCAATGAATTCGACTTAACGTCGCTGTTATTTTATAATTAATTTTTCTTTGTAATTATTCGTTTAGCCTTCTAAACATGATCATATATGAACATATCTGAACGGTGGTAGTTCTTAAATGCATATACTTACCTAGTGAATAATATTACCTAATGATATACGGCCTAACTAGACCGTCTATACATACATGTATAGGTTAATAATATTATTATCCAAGCAATTTGCTCTGATCAAATGATTGTAATATTTAGTATTGCCTTATTCATCATTATTTCGCGGTGTAAACATTGCGATACACGATGTAAATATTGCGATGAACGATGTAAACATTACAACTCATTCTATTCAAATGCGAAATAATGTGCGATAGAATTTCAATGATATCGTAAATCGTATTCTAAAATCTGTACCGCACTCAACTAACAGACGATTTAAAACCGGCAGTGAAGAGTCGCGTGGTACTGGAAATGTCTGTTTTATTGTCACTAATTACAATGCTTGCAATAAAACATTTTTGCTTTTTTTTACTTCATTCAAGCATTGTGCTATTGGTCCATCACTACTATTCAACAATCGTTGAACAATTGAACAGGTGAAACAAATAAAAAAAAAAAACATATCATAGTAAAATCTAAAAACAAAAATCATCTCTACAGTGTTTTACCGATTCAAATATCTATTTTTTTATTGAATTTATTTTCTTTTTCAATCGGATTTTGTGTTTGTGTACATATTATTTATCATATTAAAATGATAGATACAAATTTAATTATTGTAATTTGCACTCCGTGTAATTAACACTATATAAATAAAATAACTTTTTATTATATGTTTAGAAGTTTAGAACGAACTTTCTAAGTGAAGGTTATTTTTGAATTGCTTAAAAAATAAAAATAAAAATAAGTCATTCTTCATGCAGTAATTAAGTGAGAAATTCGATGGAAAAAATGAAAGGCAAAAAAAAAAAAACACTACAGTTAGATATTATTTGAATTCGGAAAACTCGATAGAAAATTACGATCTTGTACATTATTGAAAATCAGAAATGTTAATTTGTCCAAAATGTCATTGTGAAGAAATATGTAGGATGTAAGCCCAAAATTACTTGCTGGAACGACCGCCATTTGCTAATTGTACACAGAAGTCTCTTGTGAAGTGAAAGTTGTATTAACTATCGATAACCAAAATAATAATTGAGCCGTTATAAGCATGACGTGCAGAATGAATTGTATTAATTCTTATCAAAGTTGACGACTCATTGTGTGAACACCGGTATAATTCGTTTCATTTTTTTTTTTTTTTACAATAAAACCTTTTAGTCTTTAAGCCTTTAAGATCAGCCCATATTTTTAAAAAATACTCTTGCATCCATCTCTGTTCTCTACGATTTAATATACAATTTATATGTGTAATATTTTAAATCCATCGAAAAATGAATCCAACATTTTTTTTTCAATCAATTTTATGCCCTTTTTTATTGATAATTTTTTTTAAAAATTATCCGTTTTGAGAATAATGTCGGTGGGCTGAACTCCTGACCCCCTCTCCACTACTATATGCCCTTGGTATATATTGTTTAACCTGTAGAGTCGGATAATGGATTAGCATAATAATATATTATCTATGTATACGTATGAGTACGACAAGTATTTTTGAAATTAAACGTCCGTGTATAAAATACAAATTATAGTTTTTAAGTATTACTAACGATTGGAATTTTATTACAATAATTATTAAAACTTAATGATGATTGTTGTTATACCATGAAAAATAGAATATTAAGGTAACAAGTATATGAATATTAGTGCTGTATTAGTTATGGAAATAATAATGTTATAGTGCCCATTAGGTATACAAATATATTGTAATGTTATACTCACATAATATGTATACAATTATTTATTTTTATAAAAGTGTGACTAAAAGATTTGCATACGGCCGTGTACTTGGTACCTAGTGAAAAAAGTAGTTGAGATGATACGAGAAATTTATTAATATACTTCATAGTAATTAAATAATTTTAAAACGTGTGAGAATATAAAGATTCACACATTGCGACATTGGCGACATCGTTCCCGTACTGGCGTGGTTGCAGACCACCCAGTTTCTTTATTAAACTGAATTTTCTTCTTTAAAGTTTGATTGTCAGCAAATCATTATACATCGGCCCCGACGCGAAGACGTCACTGATTATAAAAAAATAACGGTTTTTTTTTTTTAGTGTCTTAAACCTCTCAACCGCTCGAGAAAGATTTTTGAAAATCACCGTCGAAATTGTCTGTATCAAATGCATACAGTAATTACCACTTTTCTTTTTATATATCTTTCGAATAGCTTCGACTTTTAGTAGCTATAATCACTTGTGTTGAATTTATTATAATTATTCAACCTTCTTTCTATCTTAATTTAAACATTAATATTTATTATTTGAGTGCACGCAGTTTCTAATTGTTAAGATTAATTTATATTATTTTGATTGAGTTGTCACTGCCGTCCAGCAATTCCAGGATTACGTGAGGTCACCTACGGTTGATAACCCTAACGTTCCAACACCGTGAATAGGTAAAACAATTATAATTTCTGATTGTTAGTATTGTCATTATTCTCGGACACATGAATAGAGTCATGTCCGAGTAAAACGATGTAAAACGATATTTTAGCTAAGCTAGTAATTTAAGTGGAACGTGAAATATAAAACAATTGTATTATAAATAAAATGAAAAAAAAAAAAAAACGAGATTCTCTATGGTGATCGTGTGATGCGATCACTATTGGACAACTGTATTAAAGTTTCACCTTTAAAAATCATTATATTTTTATTTTGTGTTGTGTTGTTGTGTAACGTTGAAACTTGAAGTTATCGGCAAGTAAGTTACAATACTTACTAAAAAGATTCTGAGCGAAATTCAATTGATAATGATACTTTTTCAAAACTACATATGTCATATTATGGTAAAAAAATTAAATATTTTCTTTAATAATATTTGTTTAATATTGTACCTATTTCCCCGTTTTCCCGTGTTTTTTCCCGCTTTTTCACATTTTCTGAGAAAATCAAAAAATAACCTCCTTAAAGTACCACTCCAAGAAAATTTCCTTTCAGAAAAGGTTCTTCGCCAATTCTTCGGAGCAAGATTTCTGGTAGAATTTTTGTACACAGTATAAAGAAAGAAAAAAAATGACATAAGTAAACATCTTTGTAAAACCAATACATTCTTCGCTACACTCAAAATCTAAAACAATTGATTCCTAATTATAAAATTTACATAATTAGAGTAAAAAGTATAATATAATTACACATAAATAATACAAACATGGATTTATTTTGTTAGACACCCATATAAAAATTAATAAATAAATATATTACTATCTACTGATAATAAATTATTGTTAGGTAATTTCATTTCATTTTTTTTTTTTTTTGTTTTTAATCGGAATAAAGACTTCGATTACGATAAGGAATTTAAACGATAAACTAATATTTAAATAGCTTAAAATGTAAATAATTGGAAAAAAAAAAAAACTTAATAGTAAATTGCGGTAAATACTGATATATTTTTTGATATTGTATTACACATAAATAACTTAATAATTATAACATTAATAAGGTATTAGATATGTATATTGTACGGACTATGTCATTTTTGAGTTTGCGATTGATGGAACGGATTACATCATGAATATATTAACAGTTCTGAAATAAAACAACACAATTAGTATTACTATACCAATGAACTAGATGATGACATTCAATTAACGTCACGAAATTTTATTAACAAATGGTACGTTTTAATATAATTAAATTATCAATAATATCTATAATTAAGAGTGTGTTAGAATATTTTTATCGTAAATTAACAATTCAAATTAATAAACGATTATGCTAATTGCACCAATTAAATTTTTTATCCAAAAATTTGAGTTTGTATTTTTAAATATTTATTGTTAAAAAATATAAATGTTCGAGTTTATTTGTACACATTAATTATTTTGGTGAATAATAAAATTAATTAGTTCTGAAATTGTTTAAATCATGTCGTATTAAATGTAAATAATGCAAATCATATATTAGATAGGTACGTAATTGTTTTTATAATTTGGCATTGATTGACAAAAAAAATAAAACTCAATATTTTTGTTGATATGAAAAAATAAAAATTTTAATCCTAATAATCCTAATTTATTTATCCGATTCTTAGTAAAATTTAAAAATATAAAAAAAACCAGTGATACATGAATTAAAGGACTAAAATAGGTGAGTCAAATTTATTAGATCGTTCATTTTTATAAGTAAAATACTGCAATTTAAAAAAAAAATAAATATTGACTGGCAGTGTAAGTATATATTTACCATCAATTGGCTGGCAGCGAGAGTGGCCTTGGCGACGATTTTGGCGGCCTTGGCAGATTGGACTTGTCCTACGACAACGATGTTCATGATGGATACTTTTTCAGCGCCCATTTTTGGTGACTTTGGTTCGAGTTGAGTGGAAACTGATTAAAAACTGCAATAAAAAAAAAAAATAATAATAATAATATTAGATTACTGTTAATTTTTTTCGCACGCGTGCTTCGAAGACTACTCACCGAAGACAAAAATCTCACGAAAATATGCTATGTTGAAATGACGATCGTGGATGCCTTTATATAGGAACGTAATATTACGCGAAATGCTCGCGCTATATTTTGCGATAAGACGATATGGTGTTTTTCGTCTGATAACGACTAGGTAGTACTGTGGTGTTACTGTCTGCTGATAAAGAGTATTTTTTTGTTTTTTATTCTTAAATATAATCGTATTGAAATAATTAGGAATTATGAATATATTACAGGTATAAATAACATTCATTACATTAATGTATTAGGCGTTTGTATTATTGGCTACACCGGCACAGTATTTAAGAGACCCAATACATTTCCTATACATTAACAAACTATTTATATGAATATATTATTATGCCATTTTTGGCGAATAGTCAATATTGTCTTGTAACTGTAATATAACTTTGATTTAACTTCGATAATAATAAAAAAAAAAACCGTAATCGAATTTTCTAAGAATAAATTCAATCTTAATAGTGGCATGTATATGATTTTTGAAAGGAAGGAGACAATTTTCGAAATGGCATTTCCCAGTTTCACACCTATAACAGTGGCTGCTATCGTTTTTATTATCCTAGGAAAGCTTTTCAATTATGTTAATAGGTTAATTCATCTGAATTTTAAAATTCATAAATAGTTATTCCTGCTGAACGCAAATTGGCGGGAATGACGTCGCTTAGCTATGTCCCCCCCCCAAAAAAAGAAATATAATTAATTAAAACGTAATTAAGTGTTTAAAAAATATAATATTGTTGTGGAATTTTTTTTTTTAGATTCAGTGGGAAGAGAAGTATAGTTAGGTTAGGTCAGGGGTCGGCAAAATTTTGCGTCGGAATAGCTAAAAGTTACAATATACAAAATTGTCCAGATTTTAAAGAGTCAATAAAAATTTTCTTAATTTGTTTAATATTAATTTATTTTTAAACTTTAACAGTTATAAAAATAAAATACTACAGTTATTAAATAGATAGTTATATCATTGGGAGCATTGGCTTTGCATTTTTTTTGAAAATTTTGTTAAATATGTTCATAATATGTTTAAGTTTCAAGCACGACACTTGATTTTTATTAGTTATTTGGCTTCTTACTTTATTTTTTATTGTATTCATGCAAAAGTACACTTGCTCGCGTGAATAAGCCGACCAAAAAATTGCCAGCACTCCAAATGCCAACTTCAGAACCTCACTGTGGCGTTTTGGTATACTACTCGTATTCCATGTGTCGAATATAAATTTATTTATTCGCGGTATTTCTTTTAGGGCTGTCCATTTGTTCTACGCAACGTGCATGCATATTTTGACCTCCAATTCTTCAAACTTGCTCTTAAATTTTGTAAATTTTCCACTCCACAAGTCTTTGCTTTTTAAATCCAACAATTGCATTTAAAACGATACAGCATCAATTCCAAATGGTTCAATGTTGATCTCATGTGTGTTTGTGTTGAGACGATTTACTACGAACGCGAGAGTACTTTTGTTTGTTTTGAATTGTTTTATAATTATGTAAATGTAATTTATGTCAATAATTGCACTGGTTTCATTGAGATATTGACTAATTAGTTATAGATAACGTCGCATAATTTATATCGATATAGTGATCGGTTTTAACGGCATGTACTATAATAATCATTTTCCTACGACAGTCTGTGCAACGAGCGGACACTATCAAGTTATTGCTGTTATGTATTATTTCATACTTACAAATGTAACAAAAATAATATACATTTTTTTTTTTTAGAATATTGACCATAAAATAATTAGTTTTTGAGGAGCGTGGAACTGGAGAACCGCAACTTAAGATCGAAAGAGCCACATGTGGCTCGCGAGCCGCAGGTTGCCGACCCCTGAGTTAAGTCAATTAATTTTGCTAAGATGTATAATTTTTTTTATGTGCATTGCGGAGGTCATAAGAATATGTTGATTAACAAATACTATAAATTCCTTGACAAAAATTGGAAATTTTAGGTTTAGGTTTTAGTTGCATTATATTTATATTGGAGCTAATGAGAAATGCTCATTTTGAATAACGGCAATGGCATGTTGGCCAAATTATATGACATTATATTGAAAATCTAGGACACTGGGAAATCGAATACATTTTGGCAGCCGTTCTTTTTGGCCAGTCTATAGAACAACTATTAATTGCGTGCCGATTTTTAACGTTATGAATTATGGGATGTAATTGATTTTTTTTGTTTAAATAAATAGTAATTGTTCTTAAACATAGTTGATTTATATTTAGGACATTAAATTCATTATATAGTTTTTTTGTTAATATTTATAATTGTTTTTGCAAGCGATTCTAATAATAGTAATTTGAAACTTTTAAAGCTGGGATAGAGCATGATATACATTAGAATTGTACTTAAAACAATTTAAATATGTATCACCGATTTTGACAATAATTTGATATTTGCCTCGGAGATGAGAATATGTTAGGCAAACTTTTTATTAATAAAAATACATAGTTTTGCAAATATAACGATAGTTGATAATAACGTATGAGCATAATAGTGATTTATAATCGGTTAATAATCGAACCATAGATGTTATCGCAAACGAACACGCCATATCACCTCATTCTACATAAACGACTTTCGCCTGAATCCCTATAAAAATACGTGCACGATTATGATTTTAGTATAACACAGTATTGAGCTATTTTATTCTCTGGTGAGTAAATTATCATATGAAACGTTTTCAAATGTGTGACCAAAGTTAACAGTTTTTTATTTTTTTATTTGCAGTCGCTTCTTGACTCCACGAAAACTAATCAAAATCAAAAATGGGCGCAGAAAAAGTATCCATGAACATCGTCGTAGTCGGACAGGTCCAATCAGCCAAAGCCGCCAAAATCGTCGCCAAGGCCGCACCCGCCGACAGTCGATTGATGGTAAGTTTGACCGCGAGTTTACTTGTTTTGTTTGACTTTTTTCGTTTGTTCCATTAGACTTCATTATGATTGTACGCATTAATTAATTCATATCGCATTCTGTTAACCATTTTACTATGACGATCACAGTAAAAACTTATACGAAATATTATTTATCAATCGATAAATGACTTTAATATATCTAAACATGTATTAAAGCGAATATAATAAACAATATCGCTTTATTCTTAAAGCCTTTTTTTATAATATATACAATGAATGACAAATATTAACAAATCGAGGTGACATGTTTGACATGAGATATTTTGAATAGAGAATCGTCGCGCTTTTTTTTTTATTTTTTCTCGGTGCCTAAGTATGTGAAGTCATTGATCATGATGTCGTTTGTTTGTTTCAGAACTGTTAACTCATTTACTCAACTCATCGATTACACACTCAAAAATGCCATAGCCCATACAAATGTACACAATATTATGTAACTTATAAATATAATGTAAATTGACATACAAAAATAAACCATTCTTTCCGTAATTTACTTTGTTTTTGTTTACTATACATTTTAAGAATTCATCAACATAATATGATTATAATATACATTAAAAAATTAAACGACAACAAATCGTCCAAGTGGTTAACACTAAAAAATATAATACGTAACTTAAGTGAAATAAATCAATATGAACATAAATCGCCGAGAGTATTGTATACTTACAATTAGATTTTAAAAATTATTATTCGATATAATAGAACAACATAGTAAAAAAAAAAATTACGGGCATACTTCGTACGTTCGGTGGGACACTGTTGTAGGTGAGAAGTTAGGAAGGTAGGATATAGTGAGGAATCTAATGTTCATCTGTACGAAACGATTAATCTTTGCTTACGAACAACGATTCTGAGTGGAGTTCGTTGTATGTGCTTNGAAAAATCTATAAAAGACCTGTTTAATGTTCCATTCCAGTCAGATATACAAAGTACTACACTTAAAAATCAATGCAAAATGTCTGGTAGAAATGTTGTTAACAGAAAAAAAACAAAATTAACATCATTGTAAATCCAATACATTCCTAGCTCCACTCAGAATCTAAAAAAATAGATAAAGGGGTACCTATAAAAATGCATTTTTTGTTGTTTTTTTTTTTGTTTCACTGTAACCATATAATCTTCACGTCAAACTTTAAAATGTATCGTTATTTTATATTTTATTTAAAGAAATGGCGTTATACAGAAAAATGATGTATCGTTTTGAAAATAAACACACACATTTTTGAAACAAATCGAGGGGTAAAAGTTTCTGTCGAGGGGTGTGAACTATAGGTACTTGTATATTGATATGCCATGTATCAGATGAAATAATCACTATTAAAAACCAAAAAACTTTTACTTCGCGTTCTGCTTTAAAATTTAAATAGAAATAATCGACCGTTGAATTTAAAGGCGACCGCGACGACCGATTTTTGTTCTGTTAATCGTGGGTTTTGAAAAGAGATAGCGCTGGTATAATGCTTTCATTACTCGTTTCCGACAAACATAAACGAAAATATTGCAGATATATATATATAAATATTTTTTACGTAATACAAAATTGCACTTAGTATGGTATTTCAATAAAATTAATGTAATGCAATGCTTAACATATTAGTTATAAATAAAATTAATGTTTTGTCACAGTTTTACGTTATTACTTATGTAGATATATACGTTATTACTTGTGACATTTTTAAGTTAAGTAAGACAAATAATTACAAACACTAATATTGGTGAATTATAATTATTTCTATATGTTTTTTTTTAGAAAAGTACCTATTTTTTTTTTTTTTTACATTGGTATAAGCTATACCTATTGAACTACGAAACAATTATTTATTTAAAAAAAATTTCAAATGTATTTCAAATGTTTCAGTAGAAAACAAAAAATTAAAATAACGTTTAACGGAAAAAATAAAATAATCTTTGAACATAAAATAACGTTAAACATTAAAATTGTATAACGTTTAAATTACTCCCGAAACCATACAAACAATACATTTTTTATAAATCTAAGTCCTGGATTTTTGAAAAAAAATATAACATCTCTGTTAAACTAATAACAATATGTAATTTATTCTTTGTATTCTGAATTTAAAAGGAAAAAAAATTGTTTTGGTTAAAAAAAAAAAAAATTATTCACAATAATATGATACTTATCGTCGCGGTAATTTTTTACAATATTATAATAAAAAATACATTATTACGAAAGCTCGTAAACCCGAAACCGTAGTGCGTCTAAATATAATCATTAATGCATTAAGCCAATGTCATTTTAATCAAGTCGTTATAGTCACGTGCGTCACGACCGCCGCCATCGTTATTTGGTGTCATCACGTATATTATACATTTATAATAACACGTCATTTTATTACAAACAAATTAAAATTACAATATTCTATTTGTACTTTCATATAACATTTTGAATAATACTCGACATCGCACGAAATTTGCCGTCCGTTCTGAAAAATCCGACGAGGGGGGTTAACAATGTATTTTATTTTCAATTGTATTTGTCAACGATAGCGGACTTTTTATTAAACCATTAACATGATTGCACACGCGAGTACGGAAACACCAGAGAGGACGTGTCGCCCCTTGACCCCTCTATTAATGAACGCTCGTGATTAAAATATAGCTCCTTATTATAATACAAACACGCGGAAACATACATTTATGTGAAATTTATTTAAACGCTGCTATGTGCAACACTGTTGCAGGTTTTTAATATTAGGTAGGTACGAATAATTACAATCTCCGAGGAAATTTCGTTTTTCTCATGTACTGCGATAACATAAAAACAATTGTTTTATATCTATATACATATTCTCACAAGTCTGTTGCAGAATTTTTTCGGGAAATAGAGACTATTGTTATATTTTTCCTGTTACGTTTGGCAATTTTTAGCACTGCCCTCTGGATCAAATGTGCTCAAACTTGTAAACCAGAGTCGCATTGTGTATGGTAGGTTGAAGGATAAACGGACACTTTGTACGGCGAAAAAAAAAATTAGTAATACTTGACTGTGGGCACTGAAAATAAACTGTGAAATATATTTTAATAGATGAAATAAGATTAAAAATATTAGATCAGTCTCGGGCTATCAAAAATACGATATTTATTAGTTAGGTGACATTTGAGAGTATACAAAATATAATGAACAATTTAAAAAAAATCAAGTATAACCGAACAATTTTTATTATGAATTTATAATTTTACGAACAAATAAATCAAATATTCTCCAGTGAATATTTGATTCAAAAGTAACTTGTTCAGATGAAGTAACTACAAGTAACATTAATGAACCGGTAAGTTATTGATCATTTTGATTATTTATTATAGATTTAGCGATATTTTGTTTAAATAAGAAGATTAATTATTTTCATTGATTTATTATTTTGATTTTACATATTATATGGCGGAAAGAATGGTACACATAGGTCCTGCCTTTCTGAAAATTTGGAATATCAGATTTTGCGATCTTTGCAATTAGACGAATGAAAAAAACTTGAAAAAAAAAATACGTCCCAAAAAATTAAAATAAATCAACAATTTTTTGAAATAATTGGCCATACATTTAGCTTTTAATTTTTTATATACCTAACTCATAATTTTTTTGAAAAAGTCTATTAATTTCAAGCATGTATATGTGTACCGTGTACATGTTATACATATACGTAATGATATTAATCGCTACATGAACGCTACAGATTATGGTTATGACCATGTATCTGGCCGGTTCGTACATGTTGTACAGGTCAAACGACATACCAATTTGAATAGCAGAGAGTCAAACTACCAAGGCAACGAAAAGTTACCAATGGACTATTTTAACATTTTTATATTTTTTATAAGCCACTTCTATTATATTTATTTTATTTTATTTTACTTTCTTTAAATTGTAAGGTTCTTTTTAACATATTTTATGTTATACTCATGTGTTTCTACTAAGCTTTTGCTTAACACGATGTAAATAGATTATTTACTAATGCAAAGTAAACCGACTAAAAACTATATGACTACCTGGAACCACTTATTTAAATAATTAATAACAATTATGTGAAATATATTATTTTTCCTACCTGCATCCGCCATATACATATTTTACTATAATTTAAAATAGTACAATCTGTCCACCATATCGAATGTTGTTACTACCTAAAACAAAGCACGGACGATGATATTTTGTGTAACTATATATTGCGTTGGTCCCGAGAACGAACCTGATTTTTATGATTTCAAATTAATTCTTCCCCATTTTTTTTTTTTTTTTTTTTTATTAAGTTTTATTTAATTTGTAGTATACTAGTATAGTAAATTTTATTGTTTATATAGTATTCGGTTATTTATTGTTTTACAAAGAATAAGAAATTCTATTACGAAAAAAAGGTGTGGAAGGTTAATTCGGGTCTAGTGACGGATGAACTTTGGTGTTCATGGACGGGGGGTTTTTTTTTTTGTGTTAAATAAAATTCGTCTTCTCTCGCATAATAAAATATAACGTCTACAAAAATAGGAAAATTAATTTTTGATACTTAATAATAATAGTTTTTTTTCGCATCTTCGTCGTCGACGACGACGAAACTAACCGCCGAGAGCCAATTTGTTTATTATACACGTCAAGAGACGGCTACATGGTATGTATGGGAATATACGAAATAAACGATCGCTGCGAATTTAGTAAATTATCCGTAAATAATATTAATCATTCTCTATAAATCACCACGTTTGCGCCGAGCTACTAGGCGTGGCAGTATAATATTTTATTAAATATTTTAAATTCCGATAGGGGCGGTCGTGGCACGGGCTATAAGACAATATTATAGTGTGCTCAGTCAACGTTTCACCGTTTAAATCGGATATAGGTAACGAATTCCGATAAAAAACCGCCAACATTAGCTTAACCTAACCTGCATATACCTATATATTATACAGGTATTACATTTCCGAATAATCCGATTAATCAACTGTGGCGGTTATACAAAATATCTAATATTATCCTATAATAAATATCATCGTCGAGTGATTAGTCGCGTTTTCTAATCTGATACTAACGCGAGAAATTGTATTTGTATATTTGCTATCAATGATAATTGCTGTGATGAAGTACCTCACGAGTGCTCGTTTTAACATGCTATAGCAACATTACAGATGAAGGTATCTACTAAAATTTAGTCGATACCTTAAACTTTAAGGTTAAAGTTTTAAGGTTTAAGGTCCTTTAAGGCTTAAATGAAGAATATTTAATAATCTTAGCGGTGTTTGTCTAGTCCTAAATAATGTATTACAAATAAAAAGACAAGCATTTATTTTTCATCCGTGTAACTAAAGGATCCTAAAAAGAAATTGTCTCATTATGTGAAGTTAAATTTAAGTAAGAGACCCCCACCCTTAACTGAATTTTACCTAAAAAACTAATTTTAAGTATTTATCATCACTACCTTATGAAATATGTCATGTAAATATTCAATTCGATAAAAAAAAAAAAAAATGCAATAAAAATA